CCAAAAGCGGAAGAGAAGCCCAAGGAAGAGGAGAAGCCAAAGGCAGAGAAGGCTCCTGAGCCAAAGGCAGAAGCAAAGGCACCCGAGGCCAAACCCAAATCTTCTGGTGGCCCCAGTGCTGCAGATGTAAAGACCTTGCGAGAAAGGCCACATGCATTGTTGAAAGCACCTTTTTAAATCCTTTTTCAGAGTTTGACAATTACTGGCTTCGATGTGTTTTTGCACATCCATACATCCATTTGCCGAGTTGTTCAATGGCTATATTTGTTATTTGTGTACCATGAAGCCCACGTAGAAATCCAGAATATGTTCAGGGAAGGTGGTTGATGAGGTCCCTGAACCAATCCCAGGTCAAAGGCAGGAATTTTGGACTGCAAGAAGGCCCTGTCGGAAACCGATGGCAACTTGACTCATTTTAGCCTCGTAGCCCACCGGAAATGGCGGCAGCCTACTGGGCACCATGGTGATTGCATCTGCAAAGGGTTGTAAGAATCATCAACCATGAGCACTCGCAGGAAAATTGAATTTAGCATTCAGTGACTGTATCATTTTACCATCTCTTACCTGAATTCAAGTTCGGAATCCTGTCGCTGCAAGTCGGCATTCGAACGTGCATTCTTCAGGTGATATGGAGAAAGCCATGGAATGGTTGAAGAAAAAGGGCATGGCCACTTGTATCGATTTCACTGGACCGACCGAGTGAAGAAGGCTCCTGAGGCTCCTGTTGCTCCTGAGGTCGGTCATTCGCTTGGACGCCCTGGGAACAACTCAGAGCCCAAGCCATCTCTTGAGATAATGACGTGGTGGTTTGTTAACAGCGTTTGGGACAAAAAAAACATGTCGGTAGATTTGTTTTTGTCAGGTGAATGCTTTGCGCAAAACTGGGGTGGCCTCAAAATGGCATGGGGCAACCGTCGGATGGGGATCAGAAGAACAACTATAGGAACCTCAATTGGAAATCATCAAGATCACACAATCAAGATCACGTATCTGGAGGTTTTGCATGGAGGTTTCATGGTGGGTGCCCTGGGTTGGCTTTGGTTCAGAAATGCTTACAGCAATGGGCTCCCCCTCGGACTGGACAGGACGGGCCTCAGTGATCTCCAGGTGTCCTGGACGTTTTCCACCCAAGAGCTGATGAATCAAAGACACCAAGACCACCCAAGCTCAGGCTTTGATGATGGCAGCACCACAGCCCAAGCTAGGGTGTTGAGATATCTTGACGTCTTATATTGAGTGAGTTGGATTCTTGATGAATAGACCCCGAGGTTTCTCAATCCAAATGTGGGGGTTATCAATCAAGAGTCTACATCAAGGTGAGTTCTTCCACATGTTTTCATCCAAGCTGTTTTCATGGCTGGCCCGGAGCAGAGTGGCCGGCGAACTCGCGGAGCTTTCGATCGCATCCAGCGAGCTGTTGCATTCCGCAAAGCAGCTCTTTATTGCAATCCACACGGCTACCAGGGCTACCAGTACTAGTATATATAATGTGTATTTATATATACACTGTCTTGTACCACTTTGCATGTATGTCTATATATATATAGTATATATATATATATCTACATACATTGAGAATAATGACACATGTATGGGGCAGATCATGCGAGATCATTGCTCAATTTTGCTACAATGGGACATGCTGTTGGTGCATCGAACACGTGTTCCAGTGGATCAACTGTTGGGTGCGTCCCAATGGAGTTATCAAACCACTGAGGCCAAGGCAGACAAGAAGGCTGGAAACGTGGCGGTGGAGGGTTGTGTGGCCTCCTACGTGCATTTCAACAACAAGACGCTTGGGATGAGCAGTTGGTGGGAGTGGAAAACCCCTTGTTGGTAGAGGAACGTCGTTTTCCAAGGGATCATGTTCCACTTCCATGTTATTGATTCAGAGCGTGCACCATGTATTTTGTTAGGGGCCACCAGGCGTTCCTACAGGGTTGAAGTTGTTTTTCTTTTGCCATACGCCGAGCCACTCCAACATCTCCAACCCTCCAAATCCCAGGATTGCAGTCCTGGTGGAGGTCAACAGTGAGACAGTCGCTCGGTTTGCATAGCAGCGGTCCTTCCAATTTGCTTGAAGCATTTGAAAGGAAGGCTCGCTCAACGTGCCATGTGGAGGCATGTGGAGGATATTCTATTTCAATGACTCCTTAACTCAATCAAATTGTGATTCCTTTCCAAGGTTGAACAATTGAGTTTACTTTTATCAACTGGGGATCCAGTTCCACGACAAAATGGCGCATTTTCCAAAGGGATTCGTTTGTTTGCCTGTCATGGGGTCACTATCTTTGCAGCCTGCACATGCCCACGCACCATTGGCCAAAACAACCTTCAAAGCGACACAGCTTTGCACAGCGACCCAGGACTTCGTGGCACAGAACGACATCTTCAAGCAGTTCCTGGGAAGCCAACATAGTTGGGTATGGCTTGTGTAGATGGTAAGACAACAACAAAAACATGCAAACACCTCCACCTGGACCTTTGCCAGGGACCTTTTCAAGGCCAAAGTGACCTCATCCCAGGATCTCGAAAGGTCACTGGGAAGGTCCTCGTATGAGGAAGACAGATAAGTAGATCAACCCTGTTGGTCCTGTTGGTTGGGGAATTATATGCGAAAAGAACTCTGGCTACAAGTTTAGAACTCACAAAATGGCTGTTTGGTCCTCATCCCCCGGGGTATGGTTGGGAGGCTCCTCCGGGCCAAAGCCATACGAAAGAAACAGCTCATGAAACCAGGTGAATCAACGACATATGGATCCAACACCTGGGAGGGTGAGGATGTCAGCAGACTTGGACACACGAGCAACATCCTGAAAGACCGGGCACCGGGCAGCAACCAACATGATGGCCCGGTGCCAGACCATCATCAACCATATCATCAAGATGCACCTGCCATCACGGTTTGCAAAGGGCAAGATCGGCAGGTTTGCTGCTGATATGGCCATGCAGGTGGCTGCCAACGAGGAGGTGCGGCCAAACGAGCGCTGGGACGCGGTGGACGAGTGTTGACATGTGGATGCGATGGTCCAAACCGGCGCAGGCGCTGCGCTGAATGTTGGTCAGTTGAGAGGGCAACCAGGCTTGCGCAAACCCTCCAGCCATGTGTATCCAGTTGGAGGGTGTTTCCTGCTGGGTGGAGATGTTATAACATTTCCTGGATCTGAATGGCCCCCGGTCAGGTGGGTTTCATGACAGTGGACGATGTCCCAGCCGGGATTCAGGAGCAACTTGGTTTGAATCCGTAATGGGTGTTGCACTGGCTGCCACCTCGGTCTTGTCCAGTGCTGTGAGGCAGGACGCAAGATGAGACAAATTGAATGATGATTGACTGGGCTCAGGGAGATAATTAGCAATTAGCAAAGACAAGTGGTTTGATTGCCAGCCAACGACAACCTCTGGACCACGGAATCAATTGGGTTGTTTTTGAATGCATGGGGGCATTTAGAACCCATGCCTCATAAAACAAGCCATAGTTTCAGCCGCAATACATTTCAACAATGGACAACCAAGAAGGAACATTCGTATGATGCTTGCCTTTTACACATCCAACCTCCAACTGCAGAACTGAACTGTTCGCTCATTCAGCCTTTTTCTCCCTGTCTCTTGCTGAGGAAGGAGAAGGCCCTTGAAATGGCCAAGGAGGACTTGGAGGGGAAACCTGACGCAGTGAAGGAGAAGATTGTCTCTTGGCTTGCAAGTTAAGTCTCCTGCCAAACAAATGTCCCGGAGGAGGTCATTTTTTGCACCTAAAGGGGCATTTTCTGGGCAGCTTGTACAAGAATGTAGCATGCAGACATTCGTTCAAATTTGTGGGCCGGGTGGGGGGGGCTGTATAGATGCGTATTACCGTTTTACCATGAAACACATTTTAAGGCCCGCTATGGGACCACCCCGATGGAGTTTGCGAAGTGTGCATATTGTGTGCTCCTTTGGTCCGCTTTGTGAGTGGGAGTCGCAAATTGCCAGCTGCATCGAAAGCGAAGTGTCAACTTCTCCTAAAGTGGATGTATGTTTGAGAAAACTCCCTCCAAATCAGCCTCTCCCGTGCATTTTCTATGGGTCATGGATGGTCATGGGTTGTTCAACTGCTCTCTACTCCTCGGTCCCTTGGCTCGATGTCCACTTTCGCAAATATGCAGTATTTGAGGTGGCTGGACGTTTGAGAAAGAAGTTTGAGGAGAAAGCTTTGATGAATCAGAAGTGGTTGAAGGATGAGGCTTGCCTGAGACCAGGGAAATTGGATCAACAAACAAGCAAGAGAGTGAAGATTTCGACCCCTGCATGTGGGATGTTAAACTGCTTCCCGATCCTGGACTGGCAAGACGGGATTTCGTAAATGCATCGATTCAACAGTTAGCGGATTGCACAAGGGATTTAGCCTGTGCCGTTTTGTTAGCTGTTTCAATGTCACCGCTCGGCAAAAACTACCCTCGTGTCGAAAGTTGGAGCTTTTTTCTGTGGGAAGAAGGGCCATCCAAGCTATATGTGGAGAAATCAAGGAACCCATGGAGAAGATACATGGTGACAAGACTGGATTTGTATCCACTAGGTCCCTAGGTAGCGGACCATCCTGTTCCAGGATAGAACCGGGTCATAGACCCAAGGACAGAGGTTTTAAAAGTTTCATTGCAGCCTGAAGATCAACATTCTATTCTAACCCCCTGTCTCAAATGAACAAGGAAGCAGGCTTAACCCGACACGGCAGCGGGACACATCCTTTCCACAGAGAAACACACCGAGCACACAGCAAGCCCTGCCTCAGACTATGAGCGGATTTCCCCCGGCAGCTCAAGTAGCGCGACTGGTTGGTGTCTATCCCTTAACGGGAAGAAACACTGGTGCTCCCCCCTCTCCCAGCCCGGATCGGCCAGGGCGAGTGACGTGCGGTTTTCGTGCCGGTCGTTCGGAGTGGGAGAAGATCAGTAGAGACAGTGCCCACTCAGGACAACATCACCGTGCAGGAAGCGGTGAAGCAGATCATTGCCAAGCTTCTGGCCAAGCAAGAAACAGCCGTGTTTTCGCACCGGGCCGTGGGAAATCGCATGCTGGATGCAAACCCACTCGTTTGCAGCACCTGACGGTACCCACTCGCTCAGGTTCTACCATTAAAGCGTTTGTGAAGGGCTTTCCAACCGTCCGGGACAACTCAGCCGCAAAGCACAAGAAGGTTTGAGTCTAAATGACGTGCTTTGAACTGCATGGTAGGCAGTAGGTTGATGACAAACTTATCAACTCCAGAAGCTATGATAGCCTATGCATGCCTATGCCAGTCAGGGGTATGCTGTGGCCACAAGGCTTTCTGCCAAATCCCAAGCATTCAATCCCACAGTCAGATCCCTCCAAACCAACCCAACGATCTGAACCCAGACCGCACCTGTGTGTACAACCCATGGTCCCTCCACCCGGCAGCTCATCCCCTCACTTCGTCGCCCTCCTTCAGCACCTCAGCCGTTTCCCTCAGCCGCTGAGGCTCGGAGAGAACATCGTGGTGCGGCGCTTCGAGCGGCTCACGCTGGGCCAAGGCCTCGAGAAGAAGGCGCCGGCGTGCGACCGCTTCGCTTCGAGAGAGCACGGACACCCACCGAGCGGACGCGTGGTGAGACCTGAGCGGACGCGTGGTGGCGTGGTCGAGTAGAAGTTGGTCCAACTTGCCTCATGATTGTTGGATTGCAACTTGTCACTTTGTTTTCAAGCTTTTGCACCTTGATCGCAAATCGGCAAATCCTGGATTGATCCTTTATTATACCCACTGAGCTGGGGCGCACATAAACAGTTTCCGAACAGCTCTATGGACTTGGATCTATATGATCTAACATGATCCAAAAGCTGTCAGAATTTGGACCTGAAGCCCGCTACTGACTGACCAAAACAGACGCTTGAAGAATTCCACTCAGATCGATGGCTGCACTCAACAATACTCAACAGCTGCCTTTTGATGCTTCGCTCCATTTCCCTGTTTCGCTCCGTTCAGGACGACGACTTCGCAGCTGGCGTAGATCCTCGCCTCGCATGGGTTCGGGCGACCGACCAGGGACGTGGGATGAGAAAAGTGGAATGGGGGATGAGATGTGGGAGGGGGGACGTGAAAAGGGGTCGGGAAAAGTGGATCACCTGCCAAAAGCTTTCCCAATCTTTGATCTTCCGATTTTTTGGACATCATTGCCTCCAAAGCTTTTGCTCCATACGCGCATGCTTCTCCCAGCCACAGTACGGTCGGTACCCATCCAATGCTTTTCAATTTTTCTGGATGTTTCCCTATGATTAATTTGTGGTCATAGCTGAATAGTAGCCCTCTGATTGGGCTCCCTACTTGTATGAATGAGCAGATCGCAGTTACACCGACAGTGCTTTCTCGTACTAGGTGTCGGGTGTGTAATACGGGGACCCTTTGGTCCAATGGGTAGACTATGGTCGACTGGTCTATTTCCCGAACCTTCCACAGGGTCAAAGGTTTGTCTATGCTCAATTGCCACACCCATGTCGATTGGGACATCCGGTCTCGATCTTTGTTGGGCAGAGGGTTTGGTCAGCCGAATCAAGGCAGCCACTTCTTCTTGTTCCAAAGAAGTGGTGATTTGACACGTAGTCCCTCCAATAAGCACCCCTTTGGAGCAGCTTGACATGTGTTTCTGTTTCTTGTGCAGATGTTGCAAATTTGTTTTGGGCAATTCTTGCCAATCCAGCGGATTCCAGTCTCCAAAGATCCCGGCACTGCAGAAGACATTTCAAGCGCTGAGTAGCGCGGCTCGGCGGCGAAGTCTCACTCGCCTGAGGAGAAGGAGTTGGCGAAGTGGAAGACCGAAGGCGAGTCGCGAAGCCAATGCTTTTTAGTTTGCATGTCATAAAATCTCACGGGTTCAGGGGGGGCGCTGAAGGGGGGGCCATTGGGCATATCGTATAAGAGCTTTGGATCTTAAAACACACATATATATATATAGTTGGCCCAGGTTGAGTGAGTGATTGGCATTGGGTTGAAAAGCAACGAATCATTCTGATACACCATTTAAACGTGGTCTTGGAAGGCTAGGGATCATGTGTGAGAGTTGTGTGCAAACACAGAGTTGGTTTAATATGGTTTGATGTGTGAAGAACTCCACTTTTCCTTAAACTAACTAACAGTTCAGGACCGCCCCAAACCGAACCCTTCAGGCGAGGCAAAGGAAGAAAAGAAGGAGGAACCCAAGAAGGAAGAGCCGAAAGCCGAGGAGCGCGTCGTGCGGGAGAGAACGAGTTCAACTCAAAAAAGGGAACACCATGACTGACTCAGATGCAAGTGGAGGGCATGTGAGATTATATAGATCCCCCGAAGACTTCGTTGTTTGAGATGTTATGTCCAAAGGGTTTTGCACAGAATGTCACAAAACGTTTCGGGTCCTTTTTAAATCACAAGCAGGTGAACCTTAATGAACTCTGTTGTTGATGTACCTAGGACGTGCATCTTGAATGCAGAGAAGCTCCCTCACATGAATTTGGTAATCGTCATCACCAACAGGTTCTTAACCTTTGGCCAGTGCAGGGTCCTTGATCAATTGTATGTGTTTCTCCTACATTCCCACATGCGCGAGAACCACTGCGTTTGAAGGGCCCTGGTCCCTTCTAAGAATGCCTTCATCATTCAGACATGTTGTTACGGCGGCTTCTTTACATCCACATTGTATAACTCCTAGGGCCCAGGGATGTTGTGGCCATATGTGGCCATGTGTTTTTTGATGGGACACTTGCTGTGTGGCGTTCTTATCAGTGGATCCTGATCACAGGAGAAGGCAGAGGAAAAGAAGGTCGTACAGGCGTGGAGTTGGGGAAAAGAAGGCCTCAAATTGGCACCTCGTGTTTTGTTTCATTCATGACCTTGTCAGTTGTTCATGTTTGATGGGCGTGTGTATATGATATAAATATATATATATATATATTCATGACCTTGTCAGTTGTTCATGTTTGATGGGCTCGGACAAACTTTGGAGCTGGATTGCTCGTAGGAGGGGAACATTTACGTGGGACTCTTTTTGTTCATTCGCACCTGCACAGTATTTGGGTTGAATAGGGCTCGACGGTCAAACCACCATGCGGATTCTGCAACTTGTGGCGCAAATCCTAAGAACGACTGAACAACCTACCATTCAGACACTTTCATGAGGAATTTGACAAGGCACTTTTGCACTTTGGGTGGGCTCTTAAAACATGTGTTATGATATGATTATGTACACCTAGGTTTGCTTGCTCCAGAAAAGAAGACAAACCTATACAGAGCACGCCATATCGGGCCAAAAGAAGCATCTTGAGTGTTTGGTTTCAAAAGTTCGGACATACATGCCGGAATTCCACTTTTTCATCCCGTGAATCGGGCGCCCCCACGGCCCCACATGTGCAAGGACAGGGCTGTAAAGCTGATCCTGGGACATGTTTTGCACTCCAGCCTCTCTACATGTCATGAGTTGGGTGAAGATTCACCTACCGGTAGGTCAACCCGTAGTGAGGTGACGTGACGTGCGCCCGGTGTAAGGAATATGATGCACAGTGTCAGGGGGGTGTCATTTGCCTGACCATGCAGGAGCATTTTATCATTCTCTATATATGTTGCCTGCTGGATCTTTTTTTGTGAACCGCGTGCGGCAGGCGAATGACCCAGTCGCCCCACCACAAACATCGACCCACAATTAGTCAGTACATGCCAGTACTATCATTACGGGATCAAAGACATGCCTTTAAGAAGACATTATGCCAGAGGATTGCCAGTAATTCAAAGACATTATGCCAGTACATTATGCAGAAGGTGACAGTTGAGCCTTACTGCCAGTACTATCATTACGGGCAGAAGACTGCCTTTTTCTCATTACAATGGGCTCAACAAGCTTCACTCCAACGGTAACGCTCGCAGGTCTCAGCGGCTCAGGTAAAGGAGCTCCGTGGTCGCTCAGGTGCGGTGTTGTGGCGTGACATGGATTCTTGTTCAGAGCTTCGCGGCGTGTTTTGTGTTGGGATCTTAAGAGGTATTCTTCCTGATTTCAAAACGTATGTAAAATTGCAGAGTTCCCACGTAAACTTGGTAAAACAGCTAGAACAGCTATTGATCATAAATCAGAGCGGCTTCCGTTTTTGTGCATAAAAATCTAGACCTGCAGCAACCCACTGTAGGGTACTCAGTTTGTCCCATTGGTTGCACATAATATGACAGCCTTTAGTTTAGAAGTTTTGGAAGCACCGGTTGCCTCCTGGATTGAGTGATTGCTGGATCCAGTGGGGAAGAGACGGAGATTGTAGAGAGCATGAAGATGAAAGAAGGACCACCCCATGTTAATACAACAGGCATCAACTTAGGTTTGGGGCGGACAGGTGCGGAAGATGTTCTGACCATGTCTACTTGCCCATCACATGGCAAACCCTTTGCACACAGAGGGCTTGCCTAGTGGCATGCCTCCCAGCATCAGATTTGGTCATATGAGGTGTGCGAACAGGAAGTTGGTGATGTCTTGTCATATCTTGCAGATCTAAGCATTCCACCATCGTGGACCTATTTCCACATGCCCAGTAGAAGCACCTCTGAGTTTTGAGTTGAAAGAGGTGGAGTGGACCCTCTCAAGTGGACCCTTTGGAAGACTGGGTGAAGCCGGCCACCAATCGGAGCGACGCGACCACCGATGGCCGCCGTGGACCCGCGTCCAGGCGCTGGCATCCTCGACGCCAAGAAGGCCTTGACCGAGTGCGACGGCGACATGGACAAGGCCGACGGCGCCGACGGAGATCGGACGGCACACGTCTGTCGATCCGGGTGTCCGGACGCAAACTAGCGGGCTGTTCAACACAACAGATATGTATTAAAACAATCACTTTGTAGAGGTGACAGGTGATTGCGATCATGTCACTCGATCTGTGAGCAACTCTGTGGCATCAGAAAAGTCACCCTTCTGCGCACGAGGTCCATGCATAAGATTGAATCATATAGCCCACTGAGCATTGAAACTAAGATTAAGATGACAAACACAACTAAGAGACCAGGCGTTAACAGTCAAGAGGTTAATAGGCCCCAACAAAAATGACTTATATAACAGAATCCTCTTCACGAGATGGCCCTGGGTTCACTCTCTTGGAGGCTATGGAGTGGCTCAAGAAGAAGGGCATGGCAAAGGCTGCGGCTTGCAGCTGAGATCGGCGGGTTGGGATCCCGGGGCGGACGTGGCGTAGGTGCTTGGAGGCTTGGTCTAGGGATGCCGCAAAGCCAAACCAAGATGATTCATCGTGATTCATCAAGCACTTGTCCGAGATGTGAACACATCGCCAGGGAGCTGTTGAAAAGCGGTCTACGTATGACGGCCAGTCACCAATCAGTTCTGACATGTCCCTTTGGGAAGATGGCGACCGATTGCGACGGACCGATTCTTCACCCAGCCTCAAGACGTTTGGACCAGAGGCTTCCCGCTCTGAGCAGTTTCCTATGGGAAGAGCATGTCCACCCCATTGAAGAGTCTACTTTTGAAGCCAGGAGCCACATGCAGCCACTGTACTTTACGGGGTTCACCTACATACTGGGGACGGTGTTGTCATCGTAACCCCTTTACTGCTTTGCAATGCCATTTGGGGATTGAAGTCCCAGGCTGAGCACATACAGGGATACATTCGATACATGGTGAAGGCACAAAACATGAATCATCATGAATCTTCAAGTATTTTTGGTTCAATTAGCCACAACGTGCCGCCACCTTCACTGGACGAGCCGCCAAACCCAGGACAAGAAGGCCGGGAATCTCTCTGCAGAGGGTGTGATTGCTTCATACGTTCACTTCAACAACAAGTCCTTCGGCCGCCTTCGGCCGCCGGCCGGCTTCGGCCGCCTCGTGGGTGACCAAACCGAAGCCGGCCTAGTCGTTTTTGACCTGGAAGAAGAGGATGCGTGAGGACGTGTTTTCGGTAAATGAGCTGTTGTTTGGAGAAGACAACTGTAGACAAGGCGAAAAGATATTGTTTTTGAGAGCGTCTCGACGACCAGGCCGCTCTCTGAAGCGGAGCAATGATTTTCCTGGACTTGGGGATGAGCAAGTGGGAATTGTTGTTTTCCCTTGGTGTTTTCAGAGGTCCCCGGCAAGGGGATCCCAAAGTCCCAAGGTTGAACATAGATGTCCTGAATCCTGAAGCAATGTACAATCGCCCAAAGCAACATACTTGGAAGCACCTGGCAGAGGAACAGAATACTCCAATGCCTCTTGTGACTCTCGCGGGTTTGCCCTGTCATACTACTCTGTTGATTACTGCCAAATCTTAGCCGGTGCAGCTGTGTCTTTGTTCCTCAGGTGGATGGGTCCCAGAATGCAATGATCACCTGACAAATTCAGGACCCACCAAGAACTAGAGGGAGAGGGCATGAGAGGGCTCTCACAGCCATCTTCCATCCTTAGGACCCACGCGCCTCTCCACCCAGTTCTCCACTCAAACCGCCCGATTGCATCGCTCAGGTTTGGCGTGTTGGCGGAGGTGAACAGTGAGACCGATTTCGTGGCGCTGATGCTCGACCGAACAAGTCGGGGGGAAGGGCGGAACAGTCCAAGACTAGTCCGTGAGTCCGAACGGGCTGCCGAACGGTCCAAAAGGAATCCAAAAGGAATCCATCCCCAGTAACTCCCTCATGACTTGAGTGTTTCTTTATATGTTTTTTAATGTTTTTTTTTGGATGTCTTCGTGTGATGGATGTGGTGACCGTGCTAGATGTGTGCGTTATATCATTTTGAATGAAAATGGAACCCCCTAGGTGGGCCAAGCATGTATTGACAGATTGGGGAGCGGCTTCCATCCTCCACGTGGCCAGGTGGCCCTGTGCTGTGGGACGAGACAGGGACGAGACAGTGACGCAGCGAAGCACTGAGGAATGAGATTTTCAAGGAGTTTGCCAACGATGTTGCCATGCAGGTTCCTATCGGAGTCAACTGCGCAATTTCTTTTTGTTTTGGTGTGTTTTGGCACTTGCTACAGCGGTGACCTTGAGATGCTGTTTCGTATACCCAGTGGCACACAGTGGACATTTTCACAACTGGACTTTTGCCAGAAGTGTTGTAGTTTTTGATGTTTTTTTGTGCTTTTTCTTCGCAAGCCTTGGAATAGCACTTGTTCAGTCACCGCCCCCACCACCCACCTAACACCCACCACCAGAACCATCAGCAGCAGCACACCACCACCGCCGCCACCACCACTACTGCAGCGTTGACCAATCCCCCGCAACATTTACCACCAGTTGCCAGCACGAGTCAGCAGGTGAAAATGGAACATCGTGCGTGCCAGCGATTTATTTTGGATCTGGTTTTTAGATGAGTTGCAATTTTGGATTTGGTGAGTGAGTATTTGCAACCATGTGCCTCTTTCTTGGATTTGATGGATGTTTCATGTTTCCCTTAATTAATTGATCTTTTGGGGGGACCATTTCAGCTCACTCTGGCTTGCCGCCACCTCCAGGTGGGTGCTCTTCCTGATGTGCAGTTCGTCTCCGTGGAAGACGTGCCCGCGGAGGTCATGGCCAAGGACGTGACGTTCGCATCCACCGAGACGTTCGCGGGACGATGGGAGCGATGAGGAGTCTGAAGGAAACAAATTCAATGGTGTTGGTGGTGGTGGTGGTGGTGGTGGTGGTGGTGGTGTTGGTGGTGGTGTTGGTGGTGGTGGTGGTGGTGATGATGATGATGATGATTCATTTGAAGTCTGAGCATTTGTGGCTGTGAAAGTGCTCTGTGGGTGTGGGTGGGCTTCGCTTGTGGCACACTGGGGAACATCGAGGAACTCAATTGGAAAGGGCGGCCACTTGCTGGAAAGGCCTGTAACAGAACCGGGACCCCTTGCAGGCCTGTTGCGTATGGAGACGTGTGGCAAGAGACTTCTGGATGTTTCTTTCCTGGTTCTCCGGTTCTTGTCAGTAGAGCTATGATGAGCCATGTAGCAAGGATTGATCAAGTAGGGATGCTCTTTTGCTGGGTTTATGGGCCAGGAGAAGGAGTTGGAGATGGGAAAGGAAGACTTAGATGGGAAGCCTGATAACATCAAGGAGAAGATCGTGGCAGGCGCACCTGGCCTCGCTCCGGCCGCGCGCATGCGCATGCGCAGGCCTAGCTGCTGCGTCGCAGTAATGTTGTGCTTGGAGATCAGCAGCTTACAGTAGCTGTTGCTATCGGTCCAACCTTCCTTGTGCCCTTCAAGCAAGCCAGGAAAGCTTTCCTGCCATCCATGATGGGAAATAGTCGGAAGACGGCAAGAGAAATCCAATCTTCATTCTACAGGGACCGGAGAACCGCGGACAAGCGGAATACTTGGTACTTGAAACCATCATCATCCATCCTAAGGTCCTATGATGGTCGGCCCAAAAATGGACACCTGCGTGCCGGCTCTGTGGGACACCACGGAGCGCTGTGCCAGGTCGCTTGAGAAAGAAGTTCGAAGAAACCGCCCTGTTGAGTCAGAAGTGGATCAAGGATGAGGATAAGACGGTCCAGGAGGTGCTGAAGGAGACGGGTGGTGAGAGAGAGAGAGAGAGACGCTTAAGTCACTTCAGTCACGCCAGAGGAGGTTGAGGTGATTGAGTGCCACAATATGCAACAATCATTTGCATAAACATGCAGAAACTATATAGTTATTGTACAAACATATATTACAATATATAAATTACCAAATTGCCCTGAGTCCTTTAGATGCGGTGAATCAGATGGAGATTTGCGTATGCAAGCTGTACTCTTTTAGACGCACAGGACACGTTGTCACGACCTGTCCTGGTTGTGCCTCACATCTTTGTGTATTTCTTGCACTCCTGTTGCGCAGATGATGGTGTGTTTTGGGGGGAGATTTGAGGGGATACCTCCCACAACCAACATTGCTTGAGTGATACGGTCGCCAATGGCGAGATCGTCATTGTCCTCCACCGGACCACGGGTCGTTTCCAGGAGAAGATCGCAAAGCTGGGTGAGAACCTCGTCATCCGCCGCTTTACCCGCCTTACCTTGGGTGAGGCGGGAACCCTTTAACCGGGTTTCTGTGGGATCGGGCAGACCGTGGGAGGCGGAGCACACGACGAGCTTTCTGTGGTGCTCCTATGGTCTTTGTTCTTTTAAGAAGTGGCGATCGGAGAGGGTGTTGGCCTTGATCATGTTGGCTCCATTCTTGGAGGTTGATCCGGAAGTGAAGAGCCCACGCCGAAATGGGGCCGGTTCCTTCGAGTACAGATTTGTCCACTGCAAGGCATGTAGCACAAAAGGTCCTTCCTCGGTCCTTCCAGGGAATGGAGCAAGTCGAACATAGGAGTACATAGGTGGAACGGAATTGGGCACCGGATTCTCTGAATATTATGTTCTTTTTTGTTTTGCACGGTGTGGTCTAAGCACACAGGTCATTTCTGGCCAAGATGTGGCGGAGATTGAGACCTGGAAATCTCATCCATCAGGTTCTTTTCCTGGCCGGTGTGCGCCCCGGAGTGTGTGTTTTGGTTGCTGTTCCAATTGAAGTGTCCCGTGATTTTGGAAGACCATTCGGCAGTACGACATGTGGGAGGTGGAGTGGTCGAGTAGTCATGCAGGGCTTGGACAAGAAGGACGATGACTTTGCCGCCGGCGTGGAAAAGGCGGCGATTTGACCGATGTGAAGCAGTGCAGACGTTGGAAGGTTTCTCAGCCATCGCTTGGTTTTAGACATGCTGAGGCATTGACTGTGAGCGTAGTCCATGAAGCCATCACTTGCGTGTTTCTTGGCATGTTGTGTTTGCCATCATGTGGAATTCTATATTTTCCTTATAGACTACGTATGATATAAGTACCAGCACATTCAAAGGGGTCACCAATGGAAGCCCCTACAGATACTATGGGACCTCCATTGGACCCGCCTTGAAGGTCCAAGTATGCATTGTTTTTTTTTCAGATATCCTAGGATTCCAGGTATGGCTCCTGCGCTGTCAGGAGTTGGCCAAGTACCGGCAATGAGACGGAGCGAACCGTTTGAGTGGCAGAATCGTTTCAGTCAGCAGGCGGCCTTTAGCCTCCACACCATGTCCATATAACGCTAAAGTACTCAAGGCAAGACAAGGTATGGATAAGATAGGTCAGTTGCATGGCACATCAAATGAAGGGGTGCATCAAATTCTGACAGTTGCAACATCCAGTCCAAAACGACCGAATGTTACAATCAACAACACCCCATCCTTCCCTCGGTGCTGCGGAGTCTGCGGAGTGCTCCGCACTCCGGTTTTTCGGCGCTCCGGGGCCCAGCCGAAAAAAAGGCGTGCGAACAGCCGGATGGTTGGAGGAGTTGACTTTGATGATGTTGATTTGGATAGGGGAAAGTAGGTGAAATATTGTATTTTAGACTTTTGAACCAAGTGGGGTTGTATAAGTGACTTCTGTTCCTTTAGCCATCGGTCGTCTCCTCGAAGAAGATCTCCACCGTGCTTTCAGCCTGAGCGCCTTCGAATCCGTCACCATATCCGTACGTCAGTCGCTGTCGCGCAGTCATGAGACGAGAAAACAGCTGTGGCAGGTGATGCACCGTCTCAACTTTGCTTTGCGCGGCATTGAGTGGCTGGGTTTGAAGGTCAGAAACAAGGGTGGGCCGTAGGCGCGGCTACTGTGGCGGTGCAGCGTCTTACGATCACGACTTCCAGCCAGAAGATATGGTTTGCTCACAGATGTGCAAAGACACCAGCAGAAGATCTTGTGAAATCAATGATTCAATGGCAGTGAAAGTGTTCATGCTTGGGTCCCCATATGTGCCTTAGATCTTAGGAGTATTCTGGGTTTAGATTGTCAGCAGGGAGGCACTTACGGGCAATGTGCGTGGTAAATCCATGTGATTTCATCTGGTCACCAGTTTTGTGAGCGGACCAATTATTGAATGCACAATCCTGGAGAGGCATCAAATACCACACTGGTGACACTGAAAGACCTAAGTTGGTGAGGTCAGCTGTTCCTACAGAGTCGAACTTGTCAAGCATTAAGATTCCAACTGTGCAAAGCGATGGCATTTTCAAGTGCGCCAAAAGGCAGACAGTTTGCATAGTTGGAAGATTTAGATACGTGCTATGTGTATATATGCATATTTACAAAAATACACAAAAGATGTAGACAGATGGTTCTAACATGTTCTAACATTTGATAGATGATTGATAAACCAAAACCGAACGTATGAGCTTGACAGAAGCCCGAGTGTTTTGGCAGCTTGGCTTGGGTTTTCCGTAGAATGATGCCAGTGGTAAGATTAACATCGAACCTCATGACATGGACATTTGGAAGACAAGTGTTCCTCGACGACCCGACGTGGTTTTCAGGTTCCATGTGGGTCTCTCCCAGTGTTGTTATATAAGAGAGGATCTTGGCCCGGCCTGAGGTGCCAGATCGGTGCGGAGATCGGCGCCATGCAGACCGCGGCCCGACGTTCCCAAGAACTGAAGGAGTGAAGCAGAACAGGGCCAGATACGGAGGTTGCTGTTGTTGTTGTTGTTGTTGTTGTTGTTGTTGTCATTGTTGTTGTTGTTGTTGTCATTGTCACGAAAGGTAGCCCTTTAGGGGATACCTTGAGTTTGACTTGCGAAGCAAGTGTCGGCGAGTCCGGGTCTAATAATTGATCATTCAATTCAAACCCCCCCCCTTGGAATTGATTTTTCAATACAGACCCCCCCCCTCTAAATTCAATTCTCCGCTGGAGAACGTCTTCGTGAGCCTCTCATGATTTCAGGATAGTTGAAACCCTCTTGCCCTCTTGAACATTCAGAAAGAGTGCATATGAAATTCGAATTACGAAATGTGTTCCCCGAGGGGATACATACCTAGAGTTTGTTTTGTGAAGCACGTCAATTCTCTCCGGGGGAGCGTCTTCGTGAGCCTCTTATGGTTTCAGGATAGTTCAAATCCTATGATGCTCCGATTCTATGCTCACCGATGATCTGAGCCATGGGGCGAGGTTGTTTCCCTAAGAACCTTTCTGAACATTTCGAGAGCATATGAGCAACGGCTTCTATTTGCGGTAGTGGTGATTGGTCTAGGGGCGTTCCTTTTCTATAGCCCAATGTCAGAGTTAGTTGGCGAAACGAGGTAGGAACACCCCGAAAACGAGATGGGCATCAAATGCGCCATTTGTTTGCAATGGTTTGGTTAATGACATGTTTAGCTTGTGAAACGAGGTAGGAAGACCTCTCGAGAACGAGATGGGTTTCCACACACCAAAACGAAATACAGGCATGGAGACCGAGATCACACACCAAAAACGATGCGGGCTTGGAGACCGCTGCTGTGGCTCGAAGTATGCCACTCGCGTTCTCTTCTCTTCCCGCTGTCCTACCTTTCGTGTCTCCCTCCTCTCAAGTTGTTGTTGTTGTGGTTGTTGTTGTTGTCATTGTTGTTGTTGTTGTGGTGGTTGTTGTGGTTGTTGTTGTTGTTGTTGTTGTCGTCATTGTTGTTGTTGTGGTTGTTGTTGTTGTCATTGTTGTTGTTGTTGTTGTTGTTGTTGTTGTTGTGGTTGTTGTTGTTGTTGTTGTTGTCATTGTTGTTGTTGTTGTGGTTGTTGTTGTTGTTGTTGTCGTCATTGTTGTTGTTGTTGTTGTTGTTGTTGTTGTTGTTGTTGTTGTCATTGTTGTTGTTGTTGTTGTCATTGTTGTTGTTGTCATTGTTGTTGTTGTTGTCATTGTTGTTGTTGTTGTGGTTGTTGTTGTGGTGGTGGTGGTAACACATATATGCACATCACTGCACATGTCAAAACATATCAAAACCATTCAAAACGGTTGTTTGGTAGCGCATATTATTACGGACATTGCACATCACTGCACATGTCCAGCGGCCACGATTCACTGCTTTCGTTGTTTTGGATTCCGAAGATCCGACCACCTGTGTGAACCACTATCATCCATGTTCACGGGGTGGACATCACAAGTTAGATATGCCTGGAACTAACATGGAAATGGAAAACCACCTGTTTGTAGTGGCAAATGGTCTTCCAATGGGCCAGCGGCCATTCTCCACTTCCATGTTAGTTCCAGGGAGTGTAATTAGATATGCCTGGAGCCCACTGATGAGCAACTACAGCCCTTCATGGCTTTTCTTGACATCCAGCCCATCAATCGTGTCATTTATAGGCTCATTCATTGAACCATATTGAGCCCGGCATATCTAGTTATATATTTATCATTCTATATATATATATATACAAGTATCATGTTCAAACCGGGTATCATACAATATATGAAGAGGTATCAACCGGGTTTCATTATATTTACAATCGGAAGAGGTATCATCATCAACTGGGTGAACTGGCCCAGTGACAGGACGATTTGCACATCCTGCGTTTGCTGGACTTCACCGAGGAAGGCGACTACGCTTGGGGCCCTGAACTCTTTGAAGGGAGCCTAGGAGAACGAGCTGCCGCGGTGCGGTGGGGAGAACTGCTGAGAGTTGTGGCCAGGCTTTTGGAGAACCTCCGTTCCAGGCCCAGAGCGAGCTCCGTTCGTTTGACCTCCGGATCAGGTCAAACGTCGGGAGTCTAGGTGGGTTCGACCCTGTAGGTGGAAGCAAATTGGCATTTTCAACATGTTTCTTCGGAGAGTGCAAGCTGCCAGCTGCTCCAATGGCTTGCATGGGCGTGGTCTTGAAAAGCTCTCCGGTTGAGGAGACTACTCCTGTTTAGGGACTGTTTCGGATAGAGGACAGCACCCTGCACTGTCTAAGGTCTACCTTTTGCTGGAACTCTGCGAGCAAGGCGAACAGACGGCACCCGGCCGTTGGGCCTCGTTGGGTTTTGCACCAGGTCTTCAATATGTTTTGATAGGTTTTGTGATGTTTTGTTTAGTAGGCAGTTTTAATGTCATAGGCTCATGATGGCTCATGTAGATTCCAGATATGGAGACATTATAATAGTTGTGTTCTTTCTCATGTCCAAGTACTTCCAAGTGCAGGTCGCCCCCCGGTGGTCCGTCTCGATGACCGTCTCGTTCCTGTGGGCACCGTGGGTAAAACACCTTCGCTCGGGGCGGAGTCCTTTGGCACCGCATGGGGCGCTGTTTTCTTGTTTTTTCCACGGCCAACCTGGGGGGTGCCTGGACTGTGCAGCAGTGAATTTTTTTTCCCGCACATTGGATGTCGTAGTGCTTGCTCCATCATAAGCACTGCTGGCACTGCACCCTTCCCTACAGCTCTTTTTTGGGGGGATGGTGACATTCTCAAGAACAGTGGTGCTTTTCACATTGCGTCACCATGTCGGACTATTCTTTGCCTTTTCAATCAGACCTCTCGATCGCCTCTCAGCTTCAGCCTCTCCTTCAGCCTATCGCCGAGGCGACCTCTTGCGGAAGGTCGCCATGGAGCCCAACCAACGTCTTCCCGAGCGGGAGGTGGCCATCATCGCCCCTTGGAATCGCCGAAGACAGACATGTGGTGAGCACTTTGGTTGGGAGACCTCAAAATTCAAGGAGCATTGAAGAAGCTACTGCAACTGGTTTAATCCAATATGCATGTGGGCCCATCGGGGATGTGAGCTTCACCATCCTGAATAAAGGTGTTTGTCATGCATAGTTTGTTGTTTATCTTCCCGTTGACCATAGACATGAAATTTGTGAATCAACCCATCTGAATTGGATGCACTCGCTGAGGCCCGTCAGCTCTTGATTGGCTTGCACAGAGTGCATGAGTGACTTGGACAGGATTATGAGAGGTACGTACTTGAGGCGGAGATTGTGGAGCAACTTTGTTGTAGGTGCTGCTATGTGTTTTTGTTGGGTCTAATTAATCATTTGATGTGTGGGCTTGAAGTAACGTGGTCCTTTCATGAGTTAATGCAGGAGCCATTCAGGAGTCAATGCACGAGCAGGTGCCCTCCAAGGTTTCCAGTCCAAGGATTGATGATGATTGGTGGGTTTGGCATGGTCTTGCTGCTGGGTTTTTTTGTCAGACGGTTGCACTTGATGGACCAGTCCTTCACTATTGAATATTGACATAATTTGCTATTGTTGTTGTACACCGCACCTGCACAATGTTGTTGGATTCTCCAGACACTGTTTACATCCGAGGCTACCCACCCAAGAGATATATATATATATACATATACTGTAAAAATACATTTGAGATGTGGTGGTGCTTGAAAGGTTGTTCAGGCGTTGTTTTTGCTTTGGCAGAGCTTGAGGTCAGGGGATTCAATTTCACCTTGGGGTTCGTGCTAACATGTGCGAATTGAAGAATTGCTGAGTGCACGAAAGCTTCCGAGATTGGGTTACATTCACCGGGACATCAAGCCAGACAACTTGCTGATGAATGCAGATGGAAAGATTGGACCTCAGAGCGGCTTCAGGGAATGGCACTGGTGAGAGTTGCGCTGCTTAGGACCGGAGCATTCATTCACCAAAAAATAGGGCCTGAGGCGGCCTCAGATTAGAACCAGACCTTGCCGGGCCCTGGTTCTAATATGTTCTAATAGCGTGGCGTTGGGTGGTCAGTAAGCCCGGCCCCTGGGAGGAAAGTCAGACAGACCTTGCGGCGTAGAGAAGACTGACCCTGTTTGGATCAAATCAATCTGGTGAGTGGAAGGCAAACCGGTCAAGATCAGTCAAGTGCTATTAATCAATGGCTATCGTAATGCCGATGTATATGCTATATATACATGCTAGTTATTTGGTATTCGAATGGCAGTTTGCTCGGAGCAATTCGGCGATTCGATCCGGGAACCACCGATTCGGAGCGCCCTGTTCGGTGCTGAGGCTCCGTATCGCGGACTTCGGCTGGTGCTGCTGGCGCCAGGATCATCCCAAATGCCTGGCTGGGAACTCGGAGAATCCGCAGGGACATGGGCAAACCTTCGTCGCCTTCGTCCTTCAGGCCCACGGAAGGGTCCTTCATGTGCTGAACAAATTGGGCTCCTGGAGATCCAGGCCTCCACCCACCCAAGCCTTTTGAATAGTATCCAAGATGTTCACAGTTGGTTTTGACCACTTCAGAAGGGATAATGACCATTTTTGAAGATGATAAGATGATATAAGATGATTGTATAAAAGAAAGGAAAGGCTTGACGTTTTCCGAACCCCGCTCCTCGACTCTTCCTCCCACTCCTCGTCTTTCTCGCGGCCCGTCGGGCGCGAGGATCGGCCGGAAAGAAGTGCACTCGATGCAGTCGCCACGCCCTTTGAGGCCGGCACCTTACTCTACATGGCGCCAGAAGTCCTGAGAAATGTCGCTTGGTTGGACCGGCACAGCTGGCTTGGTCAAAGCATGCTTGTGGAAGCTTGGGGAGGTGACTATTGGAACGTGGGTTTTATTTTATTTATTGAATTTTGAAGTTCTGAAGTTTGGCCCAATCAAACTTGTTTGATTTCATTTGAGGATCTCTTACATAGTCTTGATGAACCTTTTCTGCAACATCCCAGGAAACGAAACGAGTATAGTATTTAGCTGTGGAATGCAGTATCATATATACGCCCTCCAAAGATATCCAAAAACTCGCCGCTTCCTTTTGAGCCGCTTGGCTCAACGGAAACGCCTCGTTTGCCAAACGCGTTTGTCGATGCATTTGTCGTCGGTGCTGGGCTTCAGCTGCTTGCTGTTCTGCGTGAGCGCTTTGCGGCCGGCCGACAGCCTGGAAGGAGCACTGGAGGCCAGCGATACGCGGGAAACTGTATGAAACTGTTGAAGCTTTCCTGGTGAACGTTGAAAGGGAAGGTCGAGCCGGTCGAGCGACAAACATGTTTGTGGGAGTCGTCACTGTCACTAAATATGCTATCGACCAATTGGTTACATGTGCCTTTTGGCTGCCTGGCTATTAACGGCCCAGTGTTGCTCGGAAACAGCTCAGTTCTTGGGTTGCCCTTGGCAATGGAACCAAGATCTTGCCCTCGCCAAAGGATTACTGTATTTTTCCAGCATTGTGTTCTAACATGGGCCTTTGAATGAATGTGTGCAGATACCAATGAATCTTTGCAGATGCTTATGCCCTATGCCCTAGGCGCTCTTTCTATTGCTTGCTGCGTGGGTTCGACGTTTGACAAGAATTCAAAGAGATCTTGCGGCGTTGGACAGAATCCCCGGCCGGGTTCGGACGTTCCGAACCCTGCCTGGGTCCATGCTCGATGAATAAATCGGTTCTTTTGTTTGTTTAATACCTGGGCCGGTGCTTTCAGATATGTATAGATATGTGATGTGTATATGTTCAACCTTTACTTCGCTTGGGATGACTCAACTCACTCGGAGAAAACAAAAATACCCCCCCGCCTCCCCCAAAAAACATACAATATCGTATAATATATTACCATAGTTGCCGGAATCGGACGTGGGATAGACTCAAGCCATGTCCGTAATCATCAGCTTGTTGGACCGTTTCGACCTTATCGGCTGCTTTGCTTGTGAGACACCCTCAGGATGATTCGCAGATGAAGAGACAAGGACCAGTTGCATACTTTGCATCGCTGCCTGCCTCCGATTGGTTGAGCAAAAGAATGCAAAGGGGTTCTTTGGGTGATGGTCCCTCAGTGACCAACCACTGAAGTCTCACAGCTGTCCCCAAGATGCATCAACAAGGGACGTTTGCAGCGCTCAAAGTTTTGGGATGTATTTCATGCATGTTGTCCACGGCCTTTATGTCGTGCAGCTGGGACATGTTTTTGTGTTCATGACTCGGTGCCAGGTGAGAGAACGACTTGAAATCAGTAGTTTGTTGTTGCAGGCTACGGTTTGCGCTAAGTCCGCTAAGTAAGTGCAAGAACCATCCACATTCAATTCCCAGGCCTTTTGAGTTTGTGCCACGCGCAAATCAGTGCAGGAACTGATGCAAAAGCGCGGGAGACCTGTGCCCAAGCGCTGGCAAAGGCTGCAGCTCCAGGTGGTGCCGAGCACAACCCAGAAAGATGTGTTCAGGACTCTGGATTTGGATTCTGCAGTCGCTAGGGAGTGGTATGTGGTATACAACAGCCGCCCTGTAGCATGACGGCCACCCAAGGTGGGACGAAATGAAGTGCGAAGCGAATTCAACTTGCGTTGCAAGTATGCGGATGGCAATTTCTAATCATTCCTCAACAGCTATAGTGCTGCCAGAACGATTTTCAGGATCTACATCAGTTTCACTGGTTCGGATGGGTCCCGGCTAGGCTGCGCCACGGCGCTTCCCGGTGCGCCCTCTCCCAGGAGTGCAAGACGGAGCAGCCGCACTGCCACCAGCGATGCGCAGTCAGGACTGGCGCTCCGTGTCGTTCGGAAAGGTCTTGAGTTCTCAGGGAAGCTGCAGAGTGTTGAAAAGGTTAAAGGGGTCCGTTACTGGGTCCGTTTCCAAAGAGTTCTTGGAGATGGGGTGCGGAGAAAGTATCTACCTCATGAAAGTCTCACTGCACCCTGTTTTTTTTCCACTGAATTACTAAAGGGTCGTCTCACGAAATGCTGGTAGGCATGGCTCACTCTGCGCCACCTTGGCTTTCTATCCAAGGCTGTGTTTTGCCGCTTTTTCAGGACCAAGATGCAGATGGTCTTGCAGATGATCAAGGCGCCGGGTAGCACAGTTCGTTCGACACACTTCGCTCTTGCGGCCGAACGATGCCGAAGCCATCGCTCCTCTCCTCACTGGGGACGGCGTTGCCTTGAAAGGCCCTGACGAAGCAATTCAAGCCTGAGGAGCAAGAGACGTGCTCGGCTACTGGGGCTGCTTCGAGGATGGGGCAATGCAATGTTTGCTTATATAGTTACTATATAGCTCCTTTTGGGGGGGAGATGGTGCTGAGTCTTACCTTATTTCTGCAGGAAAAACAACAAGCAGGTCAGGTGATGTTGACCTTTTTCAGACCTCTTTTCAGACGCCACAGCCTCTCAGCCCTGTTATTTCGTGACGGGTTCGTTCGATCGGACTGACCCTCCGGCACCCGACGCGAAGCAGAAGCGCCCAGGTGTCCTTGGAAGTGCCCATCAGTGGCCAAGACCGAGAGAAGGAGAAGCTCCGCCGGGATGAGAAGAACGTGTGTGTTGTGTTTCCCTTTTTTTTGGGGGAGTTGAACACGGTCGAACAGTTGGATGACGTGAGAAAATGTCCTGGACATGGAGAAAGCATCTAATTAATCAATGAATCGGTTTGAGGACTGGACCTTGATGACTCCAGCAGCTAACAATAAGCAATGCGGGAACAATTATGAACGAATTGTAGAAAACATATAGCACGCATGTTCATACATCAGATATTTATATACACAATAATTACAGTTATACACTCCCTTGAAGTAAGATGGAAGTGCAACATGGTCCTTTGAAAGGCCATGTCTCCCTATAATGTGTTTTTTCCACTTCCATGCCAGCTACTTCGAGGAAGGCCAGCTACTTCGAGGGAGCGCAATATATTTGTTTGTGTTCTGCGATTCCAACCATTCAAGTAAGGAATGTGGAGACCAGCTGTCCGAAGATTTGTACCGAAATGACAGCCGCTCGGCCACAAGGATGTTCGAACACAAAGGGAATCATCACCAGGAGCAAAGCCCAAGCTATCACCCATGGTCCCTAAGAAACTCTAAAACCCTATGTTTGGAAGATCCGCATCGACCCTGATATCACCCTGAAGTATACTAGTAGTGAAGAACATGCCACGCATGAAGTGTTTGGGTATATTGGAACCTGCATTCTACATGTATTTCCGCAATTCTGAGAAGGAGAGAGAAAGAGAGAGAGAGAGAGAGAAAGACTGCTTCTACCAGCTACCAGAAACAACAACAAGCTGTTACAGTACTGTTTTTTTTTCCCCTCTCTCTCTCTCTCGCGTTCTCTCTCTTTCTCAAGGAAACAGCTGGATTGCTCAAGAATTCCAAGTGGAAACTTTTGACTCCGAGTCTTGAAGCGGTCAAAACAATGTGAAAGCCTTTGAAATCTGTAGGTTGGTCCGGACCAAACACCTGACGGAGGAGATCATGAGTTTCGTGATCACGGCGCAGCATGTCCCAGACTCTCCATGTGTTGTATGAGTATATATATATATATTGTGTGCATATATATATATATATAATTATTATAATTCCTACCTACATTGATCCCTGAAACCACCCCAATGTAGGCAAATATGCAACATGCACATGGAGTGTTTGGGTGTGGGTTTGGGTGGCTTCCAAGGTCCCTGAGTTGCTGGGGATGGAAATTCACGCTTGCTTTCCACTGAGATCCTGGAAAGCTTCGAACACAGTTTCGAGAAGACCATGTGTGCCGACCTCACACAGGACCGTCCAAAAGCACAAGGATGGAATGGGGTGGGGGACTCACATGGAATGCAACTTTTTCAAGGGGAGCATCTTTGCTAACTTCGTGCGACCCTTTTTTTTTGCGCATATATATATATATATACATACATGTCTTTTCCTCAGAAGGCGCTGGACATGAGCCAGCTGAAGAACATTGCCTTCTGGCTGCGACGATGTTCCTCTTAAACAGCTTAGCCCGGACGGATGTTCCCGGCCGTTCGATCAACTTTGCATGCCTTCTCAGACGTCTATAATTAACGAAGTCTCCACAACCAGCCACTCCATTTGGATTTGATTTGTTAAACTGTTAAACAGGCGAGGTGATGCGAGGTGAAGATGTTCGTCAAGAATTCGAAAGACACATTATGGAATAATTCTTGGGTGACCCCTTTTTCAGAATGATCTGCTTCAGCACCAAGCATTTATGCCATGAGCCAAGTCAGCCGAAATAAAAAACTACTCCTTGTAGTACTGATAGTGGAACGGGGAGAATTTAATAAACATACATTTGGTACAATGAACCAGGTGCCAAATGCCCAGGTAGTATGATGCACGAATTGGTGTGCTGCGTGCAGCTGCTCACTTCCATCCTGGCTATCGAAAGGCACAACCAGCCAGTCACTCAGCAATCCCCGCATGCCACCTGTAGGACCAGAAGCACCTTTGCTCGGTGATTATCGAGCCCATTTGAAGAGCATTGAAAAGCCCACTGACAGACAGCCGCTTTTTTCGGATCTGGACCCACAGAAGGCATTGCAGAAGCTATTTCTGCGAGGCATTGCAGAAGCCATTGAAAGAGGACTCGCTGCTAGAGCATGAACATGCTTAGCATTCTCCATCCCCAGCGATCCCGCGAGCATCCGCGAGCAACAAAACGATTTTGATCCACCACTTGAGCCGTTTGATCTCAGACTCAGCTGTTTTGGGCGATGCCCGCTGCGTTGCTTCTCAATCTCACTCACTGGGCCCGCTGCATGGGGGTGGAATGCTTAATGCTTATGATTCCGCTTTTGCATCGGGCCAGCGTCTGCCCGAGTTGAAAAGCGTTTGCCCGGGTGGAGGGCGACAGACCACAGGATCCAAACAGCGTCAAGCGCGAGCGGATGGTTTTGGAGTCGGGACCCGGACCCACACGCGAGCCGCAAACACAACCTGCTTGACCAAATGCACATGACCTGGCTGGCTGGGGTAGGTCGCAAGCTTCACACAAAGCTAACACGCGATTTTTTCCATGCAGAGACCATCCACCGTGTGGAAGAGTCATTCTTCCAGCCTGGATGGGCCATTTGGACCAGACAGCCTCCCGACCTTTGACTGGTTGCGACCTCACAGGGAATGAAGGTGGCTGACCCTCCACTATAGATACCTTAGGCTTCATTACCATTCCTCCATTCCCTCCACTATAGATGCCTTACAATACCGTATAGGAAGGACCTTGTAAGACCATTCCGGACCCACCTGGTACTAAGCACGAGTCGGTCAGCCTCCAAAAGCCTATACCGCCCACACCCTTTGCTTCGCTGAGGAGCCGCAAGACGTGCCTTGGCGCCGAACGGACCGCTCCGCCGACCGAGCAGCCAAGGAGCTATAGGAGCAGGAAGGTGGCTTGGTAACTAGCGGAAAATCCCCGGAGAGTTCACTGGATTCAGTTGGATTTCAGAAACGCTCCAGTTTTTACTTCCTTGATGCCATCCTGGATGTTCTATGAAGGTCTCAGAATGGCCCATTTCAACGTGTGGCGTCCTTGGACTCGGTGATTTCATGAAATGAAGCGATTTGGATTACGATTTTAATCGATTTTAGAACGAAGCTCTTTTTTCAGCTCGTTTGTGGACACTTTCTGACTTGTTCCCCAAGAAGGTGCTTGGTGGTCAGCTTCACGTTCTGAACATGTCAACTTCTATAGGCACCCCGTACACCACCCACCAATTTACCCACCCCTCAGGGTCTTCTGACCTAGAGACGTTTCTTTGCATCTTGGTACCGTACTTCCTTAGGAGCCGATGGGTTCTGAGACTCCCTCGCCCGCCCTTCTCAGCGACTCAGCAAACCCTTTGGAGCAGTGCCTAGTAGCTAGGTGACCCCAAAAATTGTTCTAAGGATCCTTAAGTGGAAAGTCTAATTGTGTGTGTATGTGGTTTAATGGCGACAACCTGGCACGGCCATCTAGGCACGGCCCAGAGGGGAAAGTCAAATAAGTCTAATTGCAGGAACATCACGTCTATAAGTCCCAGAGGGGAAACCCTTCACGACAACCTCAAGTCGTGAAGCGTCGTGAAGGGGAACATCAAGTCTACGGACAACTCGACCCTTCACGACGCTTCACGACACCCCAAGAACGAACCCCGTTCGAATCCGGATCGAATCAGGTGGACGCCGATGTGTGGAGCATGGGCATGACTCTGTATCAGCTGCTGGTAGGGCCGGAGGCCCCAGGAACGGGTGTTTCCAAGCGGCCACCGGGCGGAACAAGCAGTTTGAAGACCTGAACCCCTGAATTTCGTGGGGTGTGTAATGGCAAGCCATGGCAAACCGGCTTAAGGCTTAGCCCTCTAAATCCACCTCATCGAACTCGAGTTCATCGGACTCGATGACCCCACCGCGGCGAGTGACGACCAGCTGAGCCAAGCAGGCCTGACTCGACCGGGCAGCCAACCCCACCCCATACCGCATCCATCCACTCGGCTCACCTCCATCCACTCATCTCTTCCCCCAAGCTGCTGGGGTTGATTCTCCCAAGGAGGACCTTGCTTCAAGTCTACTTGGGCCCGGGCGCCACGCGCTGCTCGGAGCGCGACCCACACCGGTCCACGGAAATGAAGCAGCAGTTGTTGCTGAAGGACGGAGCCAATTGGATGGAGTGAGCGGAGGGAGGGATGCTGCGGGGATGGTGTTGTTTACATAGAGAATATATTGTAACTTGTAACACATATGATCAAATATGAAAAGCTGAAGAATGGAAGGCAGGTGATGGACCGGTGCTGGATGATGTGTGTTGTTCTATGAAGTGATTCAGCCTTGCAGACTTCTGAGATTCAGCTGATCGTTGTGAGGGGCCATGACAGAAAGAACGACTATACAATCACACCATCGTTGTACTCCTTCCCCATATGACCCCCTTCTTCCTAGCTCAGCTGCCTTCTCGACACGATTAGTGCACGCCAAACTGAGAGCCGACGCTCATGCGTCAGTGTTTGCAAACAGCATTGGCACTCCCCCTTTGATGGTGACTCAGTGAAACACACGCACTTTCCAAAACTCTAGAGTCACCAAATGATGTGTTGCAGCAAGCAAACATGTAAACACTAAACATGCCCCCCCTCATGTGTCTTTGGTGTTTGCATGTTCTTTCCTTATGTCATCGCCGTAATCGCCGCAGAGCTGTCCACGATCGCCTTCAGGAGATCGACCGAGTTTGTCCGGGCCACGGCGGACGGTGCCGTTCGTTTGGTGTGGCACATGATCACATCAGTATCATCAGTGGTTTCAGAGTAAATGGCACAAACATGCACACACCAGTATATGTGACCACGGTCCACTGTATGGTATATGTGGTGGTTTATGGTGAGTCCATAACCATTCAGTGTATACAAATATCCAAGTTTGGTGGTTTATGGACCCCCATGTTCTTTCGACGTCTGGGGGCACCAGGCGTGCCACCGAACCTCTGAAACCACTATATTTGGCTTGGCTAATCCATTTCCTTGATCTAAAGGACACCCCCACGCAGAGCAGAGCTTCATCCTGCTTGCGGGTGATCCGCCGAGTCCGATTCGGTGTTCCCTGCAGCGGAGGGCGGATCCGAAGACGCATGCATCAAGACGGATCCCGCCAAGAATCACAGATCGCAGAAGCTTTAAGCTGGACAGATCCCCAATACAAAGATTTGATAGAGGCACATGATCTTCCAGGGACCAGGTATATTCTACTTCATTGTTTCAGGGAGAGGGTATATATATATATATATAGTGTCATCATTTGCCTGGAAGGCTAAGGATCTCGCAACGAGTGGCGGATCAATATGATCTCCACCAACTCAACCCCCAAAGGTTGTTCACAGGTGAATTCCGTACATTGGTGCAGGGGTCACTGGCTTCGTGTGCTTGAAAAGTGACGCGCTTCGTTAGAAGTGCGTCCAGGAACTTGGTCGTTGACCACTCCGTGTGCCCTTGAACCACAGATATTTTAACACCAGAGAGAGGAGAAAAGGAAAAATAAACAAAAATAATGCATAACAATAACAACAAACAAGAATAAACAATACGAACATAGTAATAACAAAGAAACAACAAGAAGAAGGAGAAGAGAAATAAACAAACGTTCAATAATAGTAAAGGCACGCTTGCATAGTTTCGTGCACTATCCTGTTCCTTTTCAGCGACCCAAATCAGGCCCTCCCGCGGTGGAGACAAAGCCACAGGAACTCAGTGGGGGAGCTCATCAGCGAGCCACAGCCGTGTTCACGGATCGCCTGCGTAACCTTTTGGGGAATTGAATGACCGGCATTTGGGCTTGCTGTTTGTTTCTATTGCAGGCGTCCCTTTCAGAACTTGGGTTCCATGTCAGCTCTGCAGACATTCTGACATAAAGGGCTAGCTGGATGGCTTGATTCATTCATGTACATGAAATAGTTGTCTTCGTCTGTGGTGGGATCTGTTTGCACCATTGGACAACCTTAAGCAAGACTGAGGGAGGCGTCATTTCAGTTCACTAAGCAGTGTAACTGCTGTAACTGCTCCAATGAAGACAGGATATCCCACAAGACTTTCGTGCGATGTTACATCACTGAGTTCGTGCGATGTTCCCGAAGGCCTGCCCGCCCGGTTCGGCCGGAGTCTGAGGCGATTTGTGCTGGGACTTCGTGCGCAGGACCCTCATGGTACGACGTGCCCACCGTGGCTCAAGCTGCACTACTCTGGGTGTCACCATGGTCCCTTAAATAGATAGAAACGGTGTCCAATACATGTTGAAAGGGAGTTTACTTTTCTATCTATTATATGTGTGTGTGTGTTTTATATAATATGTGGTAGTGGGATGGGGAGGGCGGGGAGGAAGGCATGGGGCAACAATGGCAAACACGTGCTTTGAAGTGAAATAGATGGCACAATTTTTTTGGAGGGTGGGGCTGGGGACCACAATGGCTGCAGCAGCTACTCCGACTGCTTCACGGAATGCTCGCAGCACCTCGCAGCTATTTCAGCCATCGAGCCGCGTTATGAGCTTAAGACCCTGTCGCACGCAGGAATCCAACCAGTGCGAAGCCTGAACATCAAGTGGCGCATCATAAGTCCATTCATTTAACAGTGAGATAGTTCCTGGTAAGCTTTGTGGTCACCCTGCCAAGCAGAGAGTTCTTGATGAGACCAACTTCATCGCGCCGAGAACTCGGCAACAGCGAGCGAGACCGGCTTAGGGCGACAGATAGCGTTTTGGGTGGACCAGCTTCAGAGACGGACTGGACACGTTCAGAACACGGAGTCAGCAAGATATTCGCTCCTCGAGTCACTTGGGCGCCCCCCATTGCCCATGATTGGTTCACTTCAGGGCTTGCCCCTTGGGAGCAATACACGTCAAGGATGCATGATATTGATATTGATATTGAAAGGCTTGGCCAAAAGTTCGCCAAAATCCGACTGTGCGTGCCTTGAGTCGCACAAGGCTCCCTTTGATGCCCTTCACTCGCTTCCACTTCTGATGAACCTAGCCTCCCCGAAGAGCCCACCATTTTTCACAATCCACCTCACCTCACCAGCATTCCCGCTGCCTTCCTTGCGCGACCCGCAATCGCGCAAGCAAAGTGCCATGGTGGGGCGGCGGAAGGAGAGCAATTTCATCCCCTCGGTGGGGAATTTCAGTGTTCAGCAGCTGGGCGAGGTGATCATGTCGCCATGTCGAGTTGGACGGACAACCATCAATGTCAGATGGGAAAGGTGGATTGGATGGTGAAGTTTTGGTTGAACTATATATAGAGTTTGTGTTTCAGCCTTTTCTCCCATCTCTCTCTCTCTACATGGGCTACCCGCACGAATGAACAGGCTGAATCAGGGTGAGAAAATGTGTTGAACTCAGAGGGGTTCTCAGTTCTCTCGTTGGTCCACCCAACGACGAACCAGGAACCGCCTTCCAAGAAGCATCAAACGAAGCCTCAACTGATCGTTCGATGAGGTTCATTGGTCCAAGGCAGGATGTGTTTCTCAAAGTGCTGGCTCAAAGCCACGAGACAAATCCTGTGGTTGAGTGCCACACTTGACCGGTGGCTTGCGAGATGCCACCCTACCCCCTAATCACCGGTGGCTGCTCGGCCGGACGCGGGTCGAGGTACAACTTCAATTCTGCTTCCGCCGCCGCAAGCATCTTGAGCGATCCGCAGTACCTGGGCTATCCACTGCATGTGGAGCCTCAGTGGAGCAACTAGGCTGCCACAACTGGCAGTCTTTTGTTTTGGAGCTGGGGTGGTTCCCAAGAAGCTTCTAGGCTTCAACCATCTCAGCTCGACCCCTGATCAGCTCTCATGTCAGGCCTCCCCCTTGTGCTCGCACCTTCCACCACTCCTGAGATCTCACCTCCACCCTTCGAGGCAAAGACTTCACCCCGGCAGCAGTCTTTGTGGGCGCCATGCTGGGCATGTTGGGCATGGGTCGCCTGGGCGACACTTTGGGGAGGACGCGGGCCATGCAGGCCTGGTGTTCTGCGCAACGGTTACGTTTTGAAGGTGGAGGTGGAGGGATTCAATATCCCGGTGGCTGAAGTGGCATGTATAAATATATATATATATATATGTATAGAACTCGAAAGATTTTGACACTGATTATACTGATTGTAGAACTATTTCGGAATTTTGGAGCTACTTGCATAAATCTTATCACTCACTGGTGTCGCTTTGTTTCTTCCCATCAGGTCACCCTCTCCTTCACGGTCTTGGGTGCTGTGATCCCCGCCTTGGCCTTCGGCTCCTCGGGCTCGATTTATGGCACTGTGCTGCTGGGCCGTCTGCTGCTGGGTGTCGGCGTGGGTGGCATCTACCCGCTCAGCGCGGTCAGCTCCGCTGAAGGTTGCGAGGCGAGACCTCGGTGGGCCGGTGCAGGGTTGGGAAGGGGAGAAAGAAGAGAAAGAAAGGAGGAGAAACGGGTGCTAAGCACGTGGGATTGGAGGGAGGAAAGCAGTTTGTTGCAATGCTGCGATCGCTATATGTTGGGTTAATGTAATGAATATAATCTATCTATATATTATATAGATAGTGATATATTACATACTTGATAAATTGCATAGACTGTTGCACTTTCTATTGTTCCTTGACATGTGCCTGTTTAAAGGAAGATTTGGACAATAAACAGAAGGATTTCAGGGCTGCAAACAAGAAACGCGTATCCAGCTAGAGGACTTAGGCTCGGACTTAGGACGTAGGATTCTAGGGTGGGGACATCCAGCCCTATTTCTATGTTTGTGTGTTGGCCCTATTTGTTTCTCTTATGTGCTTGATGAATTTGGTTCCTTTATTTTTCTGTGTTACCTATCATGTTCATATCGTATTTTTTGTTGTTTCCTATGTTTTTGTTGCTCCTAGTTATGCTCGAGATGTCCTCAACAGCTTGCCTTTGTTTGAGAATCATATCGACCAACATTGTCAACATAACCCGAACATAGGACAAATCAGCACGATAGGGATAACATAGGACCAACATCATAGGGCACATTGAAACCACGTGGCACAAGTAACAAGAAACACCTTATCCAACAGATGTTTGAATATCTAGTGCGCTAACAATGGCAACATTTGTGAAACATATGAAAATAGTTACTGTACATTTGAGGGGCATAGGAAGGCCATAGAACCAGAACAACAGACCTGCTATTGCCCTTTATTACCAGATGCACATTGTTTTTGTTAAGGCTTTTGCCTTCCCTGGATTTTTGTTTTGTGTTGTTCACCAAGCACAAGACATCGCATCCTGAGGTTTGTTGTCGGTGAGTCTATTAGTCCAGAACAGCATACTTGCTTCTGGATACATAGGTTGTTCTTGTTTTTTGTTGTTCTACTCCCTCTTTGCTTTCCAATTCCGGTTTCTTCTTTTTTCTATTCCTAAAATCCTGCCTATAGAAGCCTAGAATTTGTCCTTTGTTCTCCTGTTTGGTTTGCAACTTTCAGATAGTGTAGTTGGTAGTCACTGAGTAGAACAGATCAAGATGATTTGGCCCCTCGAGCTGCATGGTGTCCTAGGGCGATCTTGTGTTGTTTGTCGGCACTGTGGGACAACAATTCCTACCAGGAGATGGTGCTCAATGAGTTTGCTAGCCATCGATGGCACTTTCCGGATCTTTCCCATGTCCGGGTAGCACCTTCAAATGCAACAGCCCCCAACAATTTAGGACGCCTCCGTGTAGCGGAGAAGATGTATTGTTGGGTCACCAACCACCTGTAGATTGCCTAAGGTCGCCCAAGCAGACTCTTTTGCTACCAATCCCAAGCAGACTCTTTTGGACAACCCTGATGACCACGGGATTTGAGCCACTCGTGGGCGTTTTCGGGGGGGTTGCCACACGCGAGTCCACCAGGACGCGTCGGAGAAAGGCAAGCATGTGGCACAAGAGTCCTGGACGGACAGACGGTGTTTTTGTTTTTATTTTGTGTTGTTTGTGTTTGTGCTCGGTCTTCAATTGCACATGGATGTGGGCAGTTTCCACAATTTCGTTTGAACCGACTTACCAGGCTTCACATGTTCCAGAAATAGGATAAAGGGACACCGTGAAAACTGGGCCTTCAATCCAGTGTTTGTTGTCTATTTAGCTTGGCTTTTATCTACGCTGGAAGTGCCTCCTTTGTCAAACTGTTTAATTCACGGACCGTTGATCTTTTGAACGCACCGCTTCCTTGACCGATGGACGCACACCCTTCCAAGGCGTTCTTCTTCCAAAGCGTCGGTGTGCTGGCACCTTACCTCGTGGCCATGCTCCTGTTGACGGTCATTTCCTCGCCCAGCCCGGCTCCTTGGGTCCCTGAGTTGCAGTTCCGGCTGCTCTTCGCTTTGGGTGCAGCACCCGCGCACCATGGTGGCACGAGAGATCGAACCAGAGCGAGGATAGCGAGGTCTCAGGGCCCAAAGAGTCCTACAAACCTCACAGTCCTGCATGGCCCTTGCTTTTTATTGTGACTCTCCCTCCCGCAAAACCTAAATCTGTACGTTTCATCAGCCTCATGTTGAACCTTTGCTGGCCTGGGTTGCTGCTTGACCCACCCACATGCCGTCGCCAACTGCCCCCGCGGCTCAGTCTGCTGGTCCTGGTTGCCTCCTTTTCGGCGCACGACTCGGAGGAATTTGCGGCGGAGCAGCACCGCGGCCGGTCGCGGCGTGGGTTCGATCATCAGGTAGTGAAGACCTTGATTGGCACGGCAGGCGGCCTGGAGTGGCTGGGGACAAGGGAGGCAAGTGCGATGTTCTCGTCATGTCCTGAAAATCCTGTAGTTTCATCCCATGCCCTCGTTGTTTGAAGATCTTGGCAACTTCCTTGACATCTCCTCAAGAGCCTTTGTCCTTTGTTGCGCACTTTGGAATTATTTTGTAATTTTGTTTGATCAACTTCTATATTGATCCGGACATTGGTGGAACTTCCTGGTGCTGAATGTCCGGCCGAAGTCCATTGGTTGAACCAATTCCAATTGTAGTTGACCTGCCCGGCATGGGGTGATGTGCCAACTTCTCGCTTTCACCTTGTGTGGAATGCGTGGGCAAAGGAGGCCCGGAGACTCACCAAACAGTGAGGACTTAGACATTCTACATGCGTGTTCGGTTCCATCCCAAATATGTTCAACCAGGCCGACTTGATGACTTGATGCACTGTTTTGTTTTGAACTTTTGGCAATCCATCAACATGTTGTTTTGCTTAGTGTGATTGGGTATTTTCCGGCCTATGGATCGCCGGCCCCCACTCACACCTTCCGCAGGCTGTTGGTTTTTATATGACCCTTGGCCCAGAATGGGTTGGCTGCTGGGAGGGGTTTCCGGGTGTGGTGGGCGCGCATGGCACACCCAAAAAGTGTAAGCCCTCACAGCGCATCACCGCATCAGTTGATTGTAGCCACCAATATCTTTGCGATATGTTTGCGATATGTTTTTCAGTGTCCTGCTGTTTTCCTGTGCACTAGACGTTTGTTTTTTCTCCTGGTTTACCCTATGAATTGTTCGGCCCAGAGAGGCAACGCAAATGAGGTTGCGATAAATATATATATATAGTTATTATATAATGTCATATAGCTGATCGTCACTGTTGAAGAGGACAGACACTAGTCAGTAGCCCTGAAAAGCCACCAATCTTGAATTGGCACCCGCAAACCATCCTGAAAAAATACACGCACATTTCCTTGGTTTATTGCTGATAGGTGAACATGAACCAAGTGGGATACAATAAGCCTCAGCTCACCACCCTGCAAAGAAGATTAGACACAGGCCCAGTGCCGCTTCCACCCATTCAGCCTTGCTTCCTTTGGGAAGCGGTGTAATTATGCAGTATATCATATCTACATATATGTGTATATATATATATACAATACAGATGTACCCTGACTTGGGACCCAGGAGTATTCATGCCCTACTTCTCCGAATTCGACCGCTGAAAACCTAGGACTTGGCCTTCTACGGCACCACCATCTTCACCCCCACGAGCCTTGACGGCCCACGGTGGTTTTCGTCCTGGCCATCAACCGTGGGCTCCCAAGACACAGGGTGGTTACTACCCAGGACGGGATCTTGCAAGGGCTGCTTCCCACCAACAACTCCCAAACAAATTGAACAAGCATGCATGCAGCATGTGGACCACAGTGGAGCAAGGCCGGCTGGGCCAGGGTGTCACCACGGGCACGCCGGACCAAGTCTCTATGGCAGATGCCGGTGTTCTGAACTGGGTCGACGCAACATGGAGATGTCATTTGATGAAAGGAGCATTCCCTGAATCTGGACCTTTGTGAACATGTGTCACTGTATCATGGTGAAGCCTGCTTTATTTAGGGGGCTAGCGCCCGCTGCCCACTGACCCCTGAGAGTGGTCGGAGGCCCACAGTGGAGTGGTCTAGAAGTGGTGGAATATGTGGAAGATGAGACTTCCCTCCTGGTTTGGTAGAGAGTCATGAACGTACTTTAATTCATCATGATTCATCAACTTGTTGATCGATGGATGCTGGAATATATCTCGCACTGAAATTCATTTGCAAACATGTCTCCTTTGGTGGTGCTTCCACCTCATGCAGGGGGCTCTTCAACAACCGGCTTTGAGTTGATGTTTCCCCAATTCCCGGCGGCATTCTTTAGCAGATCGAATTTGAAGCCACACCCACGCGCCCGGCCCACGCCGGAGAAGTTCTCCGACACATTCTCAACGCTTTTCTAAGGCCGCACATGCCCCACTATCCGCTTCGTTCGGTTCTTTTCTTCGGCGAAAGTGGCAACTTGCCGAACACAAACCACCTATGGCGTCCCATTGAAGCGGGAGTACTTTGGCAGGTGTTTGTCAATGTGACGGCAGCGTGACATAGTCCACCATAGTCCACCACTCACCGGAGTCCTTCAACAGGAACACACCGGCCCCGCTCACTCACGCTCACGTTCATCGGCCTAGACCAAGGTCGGCGGATTTCAGGCACTCAACCATGAACACGTGATCGCCCATTACGTTCTCCTTATATTCTCATTTGCTACCACAGGGGTTGGCCAAGCAACAACATGGTGACAACAACGGTGGTGCAGGCCCCTGTGCTTTTGAACATTCGGTCTTCATTAAAGTAAAGTGCGTAATTAAGCATGATTCGTGGATGGCTTTCGAGCTGTCAAACCTACTGAGAGGGTCCACACGTTTTTCGTCCTTCTTGCGCTTTCGCCGCAATGGCACACGACTGCACAGATCAAAAATGGTCCCACAGAGAACCGCAGCGCCGCAGAGTATTTGTCTTACTAAGTGGACACAACGGCGCACAAGTTTCCCGCCGTTTTTACCATAACTACTGAACCACTTTATGGTTCATGTGTTCATGAATTAGTTCAAATTTTAGTCAGCAAAGATGAATAATAAGTTCATGAAACAATGATGAACATGTAGTGCATGAAAAGGGGACGGAGATGAAGTACATGAAGAAAACATCATTACCCACCTCACCCAACCAACCTCCCTCCGGCAAACAGAACGTCAGACTATGGTATGGTGTGGTCACGGAACAACGGCATCAGTAGCGGAAGGTCCTAAAACGCCAAAAACGTAGGGGTCCATAACGCTGTTGACACCGAAAACATCATCATGCTCAGCTAGGGGTTGTGATACGTATGTATATATGGTTATATACTATTTTTATACTATTATATATTATATATAGCGGGCGGCAAACCTCGTTGTTGGTGGTCAAGTGGGTTCACACCCACATTCTCCGAGGATCTTGGAGCGCTTGTGCATCACGGGCGACCGCTTGCCAAGTGGCCACTGCGAGCAGACGCTTCTCCAGACGTCGCGGCAATCCGCGCTGATCTCCGCCATGGGCTGCCTGGCAGAATGCGAATGGCTCGATGCATCCAACTCGGTGAGACGATAACGGACGTTTGATCAATGAAGCACCCCGTATGCTGATGTGAAACCATTCTGTTAGGGAGGCTGTATTGATCAACAGGCCCCCTGCCGAATGTACTCTATAGAATCTGAACGCTTGAGCTCAAAATGACCCTCAGATTTTATAGACGATTTTCTTATAGAATTTAAATATCAACCTACCTGGAAAACACAACATCCTAAACATGGGGTCCAAGAAATTCAGTTTGTTCTCGCAACATGGGTGCCGACATTTCATTCTATAGAGAGGGCACGCCATGTCACCAGATGAAGGTCCTAACATTGCACAAATCACCCCTCTATAAAATCATTGTTTTAACGCATGGGACACATGGGCCAACATTTGTATCCAAACATGTGTCCACAAAATCAAAACCAGCCTCTTGGGCCACTTATGTGCAAGACTTTTTTAAAATCTACCCTGCATTGTCCAAACATGTCTCTGTAAAATCAAAACCAACCTCTTGGGCAACTTTTGACCAACATTATTTTCTAATCACCTTCAGCCCTGCATTGCGTCATGTGTTTCCTAAAATTTACCCCACACTTCTCTACAGAATCAATACCAACCTTGGCTATGCATCATTGATTTCCACATGTTGTGCTATCATGTTTCATGATGATGAAACCCATACCCTGAGGCACCTCATTCTATAGAGAACATGTTTCCAACACTGCAGAAGGTTGATATGTGATTCTATAGTGGGGCAAGCTGTCCTCGGAGCCTGAAATTCGTAAAATCACTGATCACGTCCCAAGGTACACCGGTAATTCCACAGGGGATATCAACAGTCTATGTTCATATCCTGGTATTCACAGAGCGCCGAGAAAAAAAGGATTTCCAAGCACAGGTTGAAAAGGGTATGCGCCACCCAATGGTGGAGTGACCTCTTGATAACGAAAATGAGTGGTCAATGCCTTTGACCTTGGATGTAGTTTAGGTGGTGCACATTTTAGGTTTTTTTTTCCCTTTATCTATATTTCATTTCATTTGGCACTCTTGGTTGCGAGCTCTGACCCTGTTACACACACGGAGTCGCACACAGAATTAAATTCAAACAAAAGGTGAACAACATGGGTGTGACTCGACTCCTGACAACACCAACCTGCTTTCCAGCACACTGCAGACAGGAGACAATCTCATCACTCCCGCAACCCCAGAATAAGATTTATTCGATTTATTGAACAATTTACATACTGGTAGTAGTAGATCCCCAGGGTTTCCCATGTTTTGCTCGACACCACTGAAGTATACTGAAATCCTTATATTGACATGTTTGACTGTTTGACTCAAGACCCCGAACAATTTGCATTTCAAGGCAACTGGGAACAAGCAAAGTTCCCTTTTTCATGTCCTTTTGAACCACTTATATAGTGGACGCAAACTGCTAGTGGTTCCCCTTTTGTGGCCCCACAAGAACGCCTTCTTTGCATTCTTCGCACAGCGCAGGCATCCCAGGCTCGCTGCTGGCGGTGCTGGTGGCTGATCGTCTCGGCTGCAAGCGCCTGAACAGCTCCTTGGTTGGTTGGGGGAGTCCGCGTATGTCCGTGTTCAGTGAACGAAAGTGGTGGCATTCCACGGACGTGGTCGGTTGAAAGCCGATGCTAGAAAGCCAACCACTAATTGACACAAGATTGAAGCATGATGTCGCAGGAATTTTGCCATAGTTTCTACCCCTGAGGATGACGGTCCAACTTGATGGCAGGGGGAGGTAGGTCCGAAATAGGCTTGTTCAAGGAGTGTTGAACTAAACTACCCCCCAAGCGTTCTCAGTTCGGTAGGCTCCCCGCATGTGGAGTGGATGCCGGACCCGGCAAATCGGAGTTTCACGGCCCCACTACGACTCAGTTGACACGGGCGACTTGGAAGTTGTTGGCCACGAACCGTGGCTCGAGGCGAACTGGAAGTCGAGACACGCAAGATGTTCGCCTTGAAAAGGACTTCCTTTCTGCAACCCAAGGGCTTAAAGGCTAACCTAGAACAGACCAACATGAAGCGATTCGTTGGGACTCCGAACGCAGTGAGCAAATACATGCCTCTTCATCAATTTCAACAATTTTTGGTTGATTGAGAAGCCTCAATTTGAAGATGTTCGACCGTCCACTTTGGGGGTCCTTTATTCATGCATCAACCGTCTGAATTGAATCGGCGGATGTTTCAATGTGTTAGAGTGTTTGATTTCCTTTTAGCATCCTGCAGTGGTGGAGTGACTCCGATCCCACTGAGGCTATGGTTTCATCCTCCTCAGCGTTTCCTTCGCCCTCCTGGCCTTGGCCTGGCACCTGGCGCCCGACGCACACGCCTGGCACTTCGTGCCGCGGCGGAAGAAGTGAGTCTGCGAGGGCGGAAGAGTTGGCGCACGAAGTATGCAGAAATGGCCGCCCCCCCATGGGGCCCATAGGGGGGTCGAAAGACGTCAGGCACTTTTGGAGCATCATGACCGGTCCAAGCTTCAGGAAGGAATCGAACATCCCATGTCCACCTGTCAGTGGCACTTGCCAGGACAAGCACTTGCCAGGGCCTTGGCACAAGAGCACTCCGTGAACCTAGTTGTAGGTGTTTTTTTTAAAACCACACTTGACAAGGCTGTGGCATAGCAAGCCCGGTTTCTACATGCAATGCTGCATGCATATATGTCCAGCTCATTCGCTCCGCGGGGCTTTTGAGACCGATGCAGACTGATCATAGACTTGCCTGACAGCAAGACAGCTGATCATAGACTTAGTGTAGGGGAGATTCTTGAGACCTTTTGATATGTAATTACTGTAGCATACTGTAACTATGTCATGTGTTTCAGACCTAGGACTAGGACCCACCCAAGCCACAGAGAAACCATGAGAAACCACAAAAACTCTCAACGCCCCCAACTTGTCCAATGTTCATTCTGGTGACACCATGTGACACCTCAAATCTTGCTTCCTGTGGGGCCGATTTTCCAAAGTCCCCAGTGAGTGGATCACTTTTTGTGGAAATAGGTCTTCCCACTCAAATCCAGGTTGAAAGGTTTGGTGAGACAGCCTGTGGCTTCCTGATACAGAATCCATTGCGAACTCCGAACCGCTACCAGGTTCTTTTCTGCCTGGTGACGCTCTTGCTGAACTGGGGACCCAATCTGGGCACCTACGTCTTGCCAGCCTTGTGCTTTCCAGCCGCGATCCGTAGCACATGCCATGGGCTCTCCAGTACTGGGGGGAGACTCGGAGGGAAAATAGGAGTGGCTTCTGGGTTGGGATCCATGTCATGGGCGTGGAAGCATGATCACCTAGGGTGGTTTCAGTGGATACCTCAACCAAATATGATCGTGAATGATTTGTTACCTGCACCTGCAGCATGTTTTTTCGACGTGGCCCAGCGTTTGAGGAGGAATCGACCAAATAACTCATGCGGCACAGGTGGTATCAATCGGTACTTCATTATTGTTGCTGTTTCTCCACAGCAACAATTCCTCAGCGTCCACTCCGAGTCCACTCGTGAGTGGTGTGAGAAAAGGGAGTGTCACACGGATACACACGGCGCTTATACGCAATTGCTACCAGCATCAGCCCTCAGTCGTACCACTTCGTATCTCATTTGCTGGATGAACTGCCTGATTCATAATGGCACTGATCTTCCATGGCAGTAGTCTTTGTTGGGGTGAGGGGAACCTGCAAGCCCCTGCCAGCACACTCTTCAAGCCACAGACTGAGAGGGTGGCGGGAGGACTTGCCATTTGATACTTTCCCAAACCAATACAGACCGAGCTTGTTCGATTCTTTCCCACATGTTTCCAGCTCGCTTGAGTCCTTGGACTCGCACGTCCCGCGTGAGTCCTTCGGCCTTTGGAACCCCGCTCATCACCCCCCCCCGTTGGCACGCACCATAACCAACCAAACGGAGGTAGGCCAGCCCCTACAACCAATCAAAAAACGCCAAAAACGGCTGCCGGTCTGTCCGTTGGTCCTTCTCTTCAGGAAGGTGGGCGCAGTGGTTGGCACTCTGATCTTTGATCCCATCAGCGAGAGTTCCATGGGTATCCCTGGCGTCTTGTGGATCCAATGTGTCACCTGCGTGCTGGGCGCCGTGGCGCTTCGGTTGAGAACGGCGGTCAGACGGCGAAGACGGCGTGGGATGGAAGTGCCAGGGTGGAAGATGAGCCCCTGTTCCTTCTCTACCAATGTGCGGCTCAAACGATCTGAAACTGGATGTTTCATGTTTAGACTTTCCTTTTGCAGACGCACCTAGGACCTAGGGTTAAGACGTAGTGGCCAGCCACAGGCATGTGTGTTAATGATTTGTTTCAAGATCAAACATATATGAATCCATACTTATATATGTTTTGAAGAATTGCTTTATAGTTTCATGTATGATTCCTTCTTCCTTCACATCTGGACGCTGTTTCTCAGGAGTCCGCGAATGGACTCCAATGAAAGACAAACAAACATAAATGTATGATGTGTTTGTTGATGTGTATTGATGTTTGATGGATTGAGAGTAGATGGCACAGGCCCCAAGAGGTGGTGAACACCCCCATCTGTTCAGAACATGGTGTGCCAGTGCCATCTCTTCCGTCGCCTCCGGGCGCTCAAGCAAGGAGCCCCCGAATGGACTCCAATGGCGGCTCGAATCCTCCCAAATCCTTCCAACCAAAACATGTCATAAAACAATCTGTTAAACACATCATAAACAATTTTTTGGTAAACCCTTGGGACATAATAAAAAGTTAACAAATAAATAAACCATATAATTGGATTATATAAACAAAAAACATCAATAACACATTATATAATCACATCCTTGAAATCAGCCCTTTGGCTCCTGTAGTTCGTCATAAATCTAGGGTATGCACAGACCAATGGTATACTGGCCATCTACGTGTGCGATTGCGAGCAGAAGTCAAGGGGGAAACGATGTGGAAGCCAACCCTCCGCAAGCCCCAGCAAGAAAAAGCAGGAGGATATGGAGGATATCATGAATCTGAAACAGTGACTCGAGATCTAGCCTCCCGCAGTCGTTTGGCCTCTCACTGCAGTATCATGTGTCGATGGGTCGACGGCCTCAGGTCTCAATGGCCATGCTGAAGCACGACTGGGATTCCTGGGCAAAATGGTTTGTTTTGCCAGGAGTCACAAAGGGGTGGTGTTCAGTCCCCAAGTGAGTGGATAATGGGCACCCCTAACCTCCATTAAGCACCCCTTTGTGACTGCAGGTGCTTTAATTTACTAAGTTGTTTTTTTTTTTAATGTTGTTTTGGTCTCACTCAAAAATCATAGGACTCACCAGAGATGGTTGGTTTGATTGAAGATGCAGCTGGGGTTTGTCACTTGGCGTCCCGGCGTCCCTTCTGTGGGAGGGCGTTTTGGGAATCTCCAGACCTGGATAGAGGCCAATCATTTGTTTCATCTCTAGACCATCCAAGCATTCCTTAATCAAAGTCCATACTAGAACCAATAAGTATACCCTGACCTTCCAAGACCAATCAAGGAATGGTTGACCTGTTGACCTGGCTTTGTAGTCCAAGATCCTTAGTAAATCAACTGTTGCTCGGTAAGAAACGGTAAGAACCAAGTCCGGTGGTTGGAATCCTAGGGCTCTATGGTAAATGTATGGAACAATCTGTTTGACTTTGTTTTCTCCAAAGTTCTGGCGCACGTGCGCGTGCTTGTGCACCTTGCGCTCCCAGGAGTACGAGGTCTCTGAGAGCAGAAGCCTGCGTGTCTCTTTGCCAACCACCTTGGAGGTGACATGGCCCGTGCTGGTGGACTAGCCAAGCGGAGCAAAAAGGTCCGTTGACAACGTGCAGCAAGAAAGGTCCTATATAAATTAAGGCGTTGAAAGGAGAGTGATTGACTTGAAGGGTGATTTTGAACGAGACCCCCTTGTTTTGGGACGTCGTTGCACTCTTCCTGCATCATTCCTGTGTGGTTCTATGACAGCTCTCAGATGCTCCTTGCCTCAACACGGATCCATTCCTTCGGGACTCCATTCGCCTCATCGGCGCATCGTCGCTCGTGTACCAAACGGTTTTGGCCCTTCCGCACGCGGAGCGAGGCATACCGATCCTAATGGCCTTGGAGCACCCCTGGATGAAGTGGGCGGTGTGGAACTCGGGGCACAGGGCGGGGCCCCACGTCAGCTGCAAAGGGGAGGAAACAGAGACAGGACCGATGCGATTTGGTGCCGTCTACAGCCAAGTCTCTTAGGATGAGGGAAGATGGCCTGACAGTCGACACGTGAACCGAAAGGCGAAAACGGGATGGAAGACCAAGGTGGGCATCTCTTGTGCAACCACTGTTGTGACAATGACTCGTATTTCTTCTATTGGTCTACTAAGTCTACTGTGCCTTTCCAGGAGTCGACCATCATGTCTTGGTTGTTCAGGGACTGGGAGAGGGGGATAGAAAGGAGTGTTAACATGTGAACCCTGAGCACAGAGCACAGGTCTTTTGGAGTCGCCCCACCAAAGGAGACTTCTGTTTTCAATCGCCGGCTCCAGGCCGAATTGGAACGGACATTGGAGCAAGAGAAGGAGGCCAGCAAGAGAAGAGTGCTGGGGTGATGATTGGCTTTGGGGAATTGAAGCGTGTTGCAGGAACAGGATGTTTGACTAGGAACGAGGCCCATGCAAAAGACCCGCGGAAGGCGCACTCATAATCAAACGTATTGCAGGGTATCAACAGCCAAGGTGGGTTGCTATGGGCTGTTCACCACATGGCTCTTTCCTTTAGCATGCCTTTTGTTGTGCCAGGCGTCAAGTAGATGGAACAGCTTGCTCGTCCCGCGCGAGATTTTTCCCGGTGCCATGACAGAGACCCGAGAAAGACGGGGGGGGGAAGATGTGTGGCTTTTGAACGGCAAGATTTCCGAGAGAATTCGAGCCACTCGACAGTTGCAGGAGGCGAAGAAGGCGCTGAAGGCCGTGCAACGGGAAGGGTTTTGGGGGCGAACGCGGGGAGCTGCGCCTAGCAGCCAGGGCCCTAAAGAGCTGGGTTTGGTAGGGCTTGCTGGACAGAGTTTAGGTTTGTGACTTACTCTGGTCGCAGGTAGTTCCCAGTTGAAAGGCCTTGCTGGGCTGCTACAAGAATGCTACTGCCTTTGGCTTCAGGTTTCAATCCAAATTATTCCCGCATGTTTGAAGACTGCACAAGGAGGCTATTTTTTGCACAAACACAGCGGCATTGGTAGCAGCTGGCACTCACTACTAAAGTTTCTTTGTGGAAGATGGCAGGGCTGTCAGGAAGTTTGTTCGATGCCCAACTGTTGAAGCCCGCTCTACCCGGAGGCGCATACTACTTATGCCGCTTTCAGATCAGGATTGCTTCCATGAACCGTATAATTAATCACACAAAGTCCATCAAGCACACATTTGTGGTGCAGTATCAAGACCAATAATTTTTTCATTGTCAATGTGTTGGAAACGGGATTACTGGTTTGAGCCTATCATAAAAAGCTAAAACTGAATCTTCCAAAGACCAACAAATTCTGGTAGTTTTGGTAATTGACCCGGGCAAACCGCCGCACATCAGCGCAAACGGCAAAACGACTGCAAAGTAGCGCGGAACGCACGCCAAAACCTGCACATGATCCGCAGCGACCAAAACAAACATTTAAAAAAGAACATATAACCAAAATGAGTTTGCTGATCGTTTCTCAGAACGCTCTCCGGCCCTCTCCGGTGCCGGCCGAGGAGGAGGAGAGCATGCCGCTGAGCCCCAAAGCTGCAGCCAAGGTGCCAGCAGAGCGTCTTGTGACCCAGTGATCTCAAATGAGCAACAACGATTAGCAAAGAGCGGTCTTGAATTTCAGGACTGTACTTGACGGTACGTATATAAGTAGAGCGGCAGTGGAGAAGCATGTCGCAGATTTAACTACTTCTAAGAGTTGTGCATGGATGGTGTGAAGATGGGGTGGTGATGGACTGGGAATTGAATGGCCATATGCTTGATGTTGTTGTGAGTTACCATTTGCCGACGATGCTGCATCACAGGGTTTGCATGCTTTGTCGAGGACTTGTGCTTAACTTTAATTGCACCTTTTGTGGCAGACACCTTGCGGATCGTTGGCTGAGTCCAACCAGCCCTTCCTTCGGGTGGAGAGATATTTGGAGAGATTGGCCATACCTCTTTTAACACTGTTCGGAGTTCGGAGGTGGTATGCCCTAGGGCTCCTGGCCCGTGCTCCCTCGTCACCCTCCCCATCCCACGCCCAGAAAAACCATGCTGACTGTGCTCAGAGTCTTGTCCCCCCGCGTAGTATTTGGGATGTAGGCAAGCAAGGCAAGAATACGGGAACGTGTACCAAAGTTGCAAAGGCATGTGGATACCATTGAAAGCTCGGAATTGAACAGCCAACCAAAATATGCATGCTTGCATGCCTTGAAAGGGCCAATAGCTGTAGTTGTTCAAACGTCATTGTATATAAAGGTCAGAGAACCCAGATGATGTCAGAGAACTCCAGATGATCAACTAAACGTCATTGTATATAAAGGTCATTGAGTTGTTGACATCCAGATGATCAATCGGCAAATCTGTGGGCTAGCTCTCCAGGAGTCATGATTAGGTACACCACCCGCACAAAGACGTACACCCAAAAAATGGCCTCGGAAGCGTTACCACGTCACACACGCACACCTGCCCCCCTGTCAGACGATTTGTAGCTCCAAAAGCCCGAAAACATATAGATTTCTTGGTCACGTGTCCTTCTTGATAACCACATCCCCCCCAAAAATGGTAGCCCGAAGCAAGTACACCGCACAACTAAATCTGCAGCATGCATACTTTACCGTTCTCACTTCATTTCTTGTGGCTGCCATGGACGCTCCCATCTACGACTTGGACTGCGAGAACGGCCGAACCGAGTCCCTGATTGATGTGACTGAGCAGATGGCGCCCCGAGCACGCAGGCTTCTGGAACTGGCTGGCACCAACGAGAAATGCGGCCTCGCAACGTTCTTGATGTTTGTTTCTCAGTCCTTGAAAAAGAACACATGTTAGATGTTATTTGATGTTCCAACAGCTCTCATTACGTAGGAATGTGTATTTATATAGCTGATTTCGTGATTCAGGATTCGGTGGATGATGTGGATGTGTTCCAAAGAGTTTCTGCCTGAATATCTATAAGTTCTACTACTGTCAACACGTCATCCTCCCAAGAAAGGCATTGTGGGTAGCAGGGTCCCTAGCAGGGTCCCTAGAAGTGGATAGTATGAGCATCCAGATCCATCCATGGTCATAGGTCGAGCAGATGGAATATCAAAGATTCCCAAATTCCAGAAACATTATTTTAGGGCAATTCTTTTGAACATGCATGTGTTTTAGTGGTTGGGTTTACTTGTCCTAGACTGGCCGGCGTAGTCATAATAGTCATTAAATTTTCTTACAGAGGTTCTTAGATTCCCTAGTCTTGTTTGCCTCCCGTTGATGCAGCCAAGTCGGCAGTTCCAGGTATATAACCTCAGGCCGCTTTGTCAGTCGATGGCGCCTGAGGTTTACATCTACCTAAACACGCCGCCAAGTTTGGTGCTCAATGTTTACTGGGCTTATGATGATGATCTTTGGAGATCCAAGTGGAAACTTGGACATGACCAGGGGCAAGCATACGCCCAGCACCCCTGGTTTGCCCCCAAGCACTTTGAGGGGGGAGCAAATTCCCTATAAATAACAATTTGAAAGGGACAGCATTTGAAGCTTTGTCATCGGATTTGGTGGCTCGATGACAGCGATCTTATAAGATATTTGACACTAAATATATGAAACATAGATTCGATCACGTTCTCAGCAGTTCCACGCGAATAACTGCCCAAACCCAAAAACCATGCGTCCTGGGACTAAACATGCTTCAACACATATTATAGTCAGTTGACTCATGCTGAATCAATATGAGACTCCCAGAGTCAGACAATGATTCTTGTTGCATGTGTCTTGCTCTTAGGGGGGGTAAATCGGAAATTGATCTGTTGATATCTGTTGATTTTGATAACTTGATCATTTGGTAGGAGATAAATCGGTAGAACTGTTTGTGCAATATTTGTACAGGTTGATAGACTAGATAGATCGATGCTTCGTCCGGAGAGCCCGCTAGCCGACCGGAGCGTTGTTCGGAGCGCTTCCTTTTCAGATGGCCTGAGAGTCGGATGACTGAGTAACTCGGTGTCAGACTGATAAAATCACGAAGCCGTGTGAAAATCTCATTAGGATGAATCATGATGAATTCAATGCTTCGATTTGTTGGAACGTGTTAGAACAAAAACACGGTCTTTTCGGGCCCATAACCAGGAGAAGCTTGCTGATCTTCAGTGCTCTGATTCTTTTGGCAGATGTCTCCGGCTTGGCCTTGCACTGGTTCCCTGGCATGGCTTTAGTTTGGTAAACTCTTGGAGTGAATCATGCCCTTGAAATGGACTGTTTGGGCGAGACTGTCATTTCAATCCACCTGGGCACCTGGCCTCTCCATAAAGTTTTTCAACCGCGCCAGCATGCCCCAGCTGCCAACCCAACTGGTGTGTCCAAAACTGGTGTGTCAAGATCCTCCAAATTCAACAGGCGGAGGCCCCTGATACCTTTTGACTTCACTAACATGGACCCCCAACCTTTTGGAAGACACGATTCTATGAGCTCTATGTTAGTGAATCGGAGTTAAGGCACGGCGGCAGGCTGAAGCGCTACAGCAAAGCCTCCGAGCTGGTCCGAAATCCTGAGGTGTCTCTGACTGATATCCGCTTGAAGGAGACTCGCAACTGGCTCACCTTGGGCTTCGCCATGTCCATATCGATTGGATTGTCCTTTGTGCTTTCAATACACCACACCGAAGAGTTCTACTTGAAAGATGTGATTGGTTTCTTTTTGCTCGTTTACTTGGCCTGGCTCCCAGCAAGTTTGCCACACTTTGCTACCACCCTCCTCCTGCAAGAGGATTTAGAACATTTGGAGGCCGAGTTGACCAAGACAGTGGATGCAGCCACGGAGCTGGCAGTGATGGAGCTCTTGGAAAAGGTGTCCCACACCAAACGCCGTTGGATGCCTTTCCTTCGCTGGCACTTTGCGCTGGAGGGCACCGGCGCAGCTGCCTGCGTCTTTGCGATGCTGTGGTTCTCCTTGCATACGGCCTCCTTCGCAGAGACCGACTCAAGGCTAGGTATGATCCTGATTCCTGCCATGCTGTCTGGGCCTTTACTGGCAGTGTATGTTTTGGTGCAGGTCTTATCGCTGGCGAGATTTAATGGTCACATCCAAACATGCATACAGACTACAAGTAGCAATTGCTTGTTCAGGTTGCTCTCCCAGCAGGAGAAACAGCTGGAATTTTGTGTGCTTGGAATCACCATCACTCTTGGAAAGATTCGTGCTGTAATGACCTCAGTGGTCATCAGTGCATGCAGCAAGATCGTGATGTCTTTGGTCACTCGCTGAAGGGAGATGGCATGCGGCATGAACAGCAAAGGCTCTGAGGGGTTCTCACTTCTTGTATCGAGGACACATCGTGGGCGAAGAAGTGAGAACCCCATCAAAGGTGAGAACACTTTCTTTGCTTGAAGTGAGAACCCCTCTGAAGTGATTCTGCTTTGCTTGGGCCAAGAGTCGCTCTTTTAGACATGACATGAAGACCGCTTTAGCGAGCGGCAGGCCAAAGGAGTCCGATGTGGCTACGGTTCCCAGCCGTCCGCTCCACGGACCGTCCACTTTTGACGGTCCGCGCAACCGGGGTCACTGACGACGTGCTTTCCCCGCGACCATGAGGCTGGTAGATGACAGGATCAATCCTGTTCCCCAGCCTGGAGGAATCCCGATGGCACCAGGATCGGGATCCTTTCACCGGGTGAGGCCAACTCGCAAAGTGAGAAGCAAAAAATAGATCTTGCGAGAAGCTCGCTGAAGGGTTGTGGAAGGCTTAGATGCGCTTATAGTATCTAGATCGGAATCCGGAGTGTTTCTCGAATTGATGATGCTTAAATTTGTTATGTTTAAGTATCAGGACATATTAGGACCAAGGACCATTCTCAGTCGTTCTCTCAACATGAACATCCAGCACAGTCGGCAAGCCAGGCCGCTCGATCCCCCGAGGCGGACCGTGGGCGATGTGGAAATGGAAGAACCGTTTGTTTGGTCATACACTCCCTGGACCTCAGAGGACAAACAGAGAGGTTGGTCATACACAACTTGGAGGACAAACATAACAACATGAGAGAGAGAGGTTCACCAAACTGATTGCGTTGGTTTTTGGATATCACTCCAAACTCATCCTTGTGCACCCTCCTAAAACTAGCGCAGACATGAAGGGCTCATGCAGATCTCATGTTGCTTTTGATTGGCAGGGAGTACAGGAATAGTATGGAACAGTCATAGTCCTTTAGTTCATCATGGTCATTATACGTGTTCCTGGGTGCTTTCCTGTTCAAGCATACTAGTTTTAATGGAGCGCAACTCTTTCCCAAACATCAACTTGTGGTCATAATGTGAATTGATTGGGGTCGTTACGCCCTGGAAGAGACCCACATGGAACCTGAAAACCACGTCGGGGCATAGTGAAAAATCATCTTCCAGTCTGGTCCATGCCATCAGGTTCCATGTGGGTCTCTTCCCACAAGAATTTCAGGAGATAGGGTGGAGGCCATCGCTAGGAGCTTGGAGGCCATCGCTACTAGGTGTCGTTCAGGTTCCATGTGGGTCTCTTCCCGGGTGTAGCGACACTCCGGGGTCGATCTTCAGCTTCCCCAGCTTCTTCGCGAGGCTCGCTCGCCCGAGGCAGGTGGTGGTGGGTGTTAGGACGTCGTCTATCAGTTTAGGTTGCTTGTGAAACACCCAGTGCCGATATGGAAACGTGTTGGAGTGGAACATGTTTCACATATGTAACATGTTCACATGTTTGTTTGGGTATCGGGGCCGGGGCGAAGTGTCATTTTTCCATGTTGGCCACTAGGGTTGGTTAGAAGAACCTGGGATATGTTGCCATCAATGATTGCCATGAGGACACCCACTTAAGCCACTTGGAACCCAAAGGCTATAAACTTGCAAGAAGGCGGTGCAACAAACCATGTCTTGGCAACTCGAAGCAGCAAGCAAATACGGGCCAGGAATACTGCAAGTTTGCCCCCCATACTTCGTAAATCCTTTGATGCGCCAGACATTCATGCCCGAAAATGGTAAGCCTTGAACCATTCCAAACCTAAACCAACATGCAATCGCCTTCTGAGAAGGTACTTGGATCCCTAGGGGGTGTTTGGAATGGGCCTTCTTGCACCTCGACCTGTTCCCGCACGAAATCATCGGGGCTGACCTGCCAGGTGGCGCGATCTCCCGCCAAGGCACCGCTTCTTTTGTTGACCGACCGGGGGGCATTGGAGCGACTCCGTGGCGGGGAGGAAGGGACCAGAAGTGGGCGCGGTTTGGAGGAGCAAGTCTCCTGACAGAATATCTGAGAGCAGGAATCCCAAGAATGGACTCCAGTCGAGCCCAAGTTGTTGTGAAAGTCTTTGCGGGCCTGAGCTTGCCTGTGATTTTTGTTTGTTTGTTTCGGCAGACTCGGCAGTTGATTCGTTTTTGATCCAGAACATGGCGTGTACTGCTTGAACTCAGGGCACATCGCAAAGCAGCTTGTGCTGCCATCAACACTTCCAAAGCGAGTGCAACTGGTGACTGGTGCTTGCAAGGCCGAGTCACGGTCCAACACTTATAGATCGCTCACTCACCTACCTTCTCAGGGCCCAGCGTAGCCGTCACGATCCTTGCAGCTTTGGCCTCCCCAAACCAGCAGCTTCGATCCTCAGACCCGATTCCCATCCGTTTTGGCTGATCAGGTGATGTGGCGTTCTCTATAGCCCCATATGGAAGAATCCCCGGCCCTGGTGGAGACCTGTGTTCTTGTTTGTTTCTTTCTCCCGGTTCTGTTTCCATCGGTTTTCCTTCAAAATCTCACTGCTTTTGCTCCAGTTGGGCCGCTTCAGGAGGTCTCTGTGCCAACACCACAGAAGCCGAGATCTTTCGATCCGCCCGGAGAGCCCAGAGGACGAAGCGGTTCGGCGGTTCGATCCAGCTCCCAGTTGTTCTTCGAAGTGTTCTTAACCTTCAAAATCTTCTGAAACGACATTTAGTGGCATGGTGTCCCAAGTTCAGGTGCATGCTGCGAGATTCAAAACATATGTTGGAAAACAGTTGTTGTTTGTTTCCATGTTCTTTTTCCTCCAGGGGCTTCTGTCAGGGGCTTTTGGGGCAGCTGTCTCCTTCTGCATTTGGGCAGCACTTCTTTCACCGACTTCCGGCACCGTCCTCCCACTCCTCAGGGGGCGCAACAATGCCTTCACGCCTCCAGTCCGGCGGGTCAGTCCGACGGGGAAGTGATGCTGCTTCCGAGACGGAAGCGATCCATGGATTTGGGGGGCTACCGAGCTCGACCGGGATGCCAGAAACGTCCATTTCCAACCTGATGCTGAAATCCCTCCCCTCCAAACAGTTCGATGCAGCAAACAGAGTGTTTAAGACTTGGGTGGAGAGTATCAAGATCATTGATCGTCATTCATCATCCGAGAATTGAGTTGGGGTGGCAAGGCGTGGTCGGGTGTTCAGCACGCTTTTGTGATCATGGACTCACAGCAGTTCAGCCCAGATGTTTGCTGTTTGTGTTATCGCACCCAGTTCCGCACTGGTGAAACACCTGTTGTTGGGCTTAGGGGGAAACACGTCCGAGGTGAGTCACACGAAAAGCACTCAGCCTCGGAGGACCTATCATCCTTGCGTCTCAGTTTTGAACCCAAATCATAATCTCACGGATGCCACTTCTATAGGGACTTGAATGTCGTGTCAAATCTCTACCTGGACCTTCCCACAGGTGTCCCATGGAGGCCCACAAGTTGTGTAGGGTATTCCATTGGAGACCCCATTCAAAGGTGTGCTATTATATATTCATGATTTTCTATGACACACATTGCATACAAACACAATGTGCGCTCAGCCATTTTTGGACTCAATTCCTGCTTTCCGCCACAGATGTTCAGTGTGAGGATGCCTCGTTTTCCTGTGATGGCGCTCGTTTTCGCACTGCCGGCTGCAGCGGCTGTGTTTGTGCCAACTGTTCGAATTGGCCCTAACAAAGATGTTGAGATGCAAATGATAGCTGCTGGGCAGAAACAGGCCGAGGAGCTTGCCAGGGGCAGACTGCAGGTATAGAATTGAATAGCATACTGCACAGAGTGTTTGGGGGGAAGTTCATTGTTGAGTCGGAGGGTGCTGTGAGAAATACATTTGGCAGTTGGATGGCAACATAAGGTAGGCTGTTGATTAACAGAGCCTCCTCCATATGGAGATGGAAAAGCATTCTTTAAGGTGTTGTCACGTGTCATTACTCTCTATATATATATATATAACCAACCGTCCACATGACATGGCAACCGCACATGACATGCCAAGTTCCCCCCAGTCATCCCTGTCTACCCCACACACTACATGGACTGTTGGAACAGTCCAAGTGGGTGGGGACTCAGAGAGCCCCTGCTCGGACCCTGGCAGACCTCGCAAAAGAATGCCAAAGAGACCTTTGATTCACCATGAAGACCAGCACTTTTATTTGACAAGTCAATCCTATGGCCACATTTGTGTGTGTGCGTCAAGATTGCAAGTGCCTTTGATCGGGTCAAGGTAGGGATAGACTAATAGGTGTAGAATGTAGAAACTGGATCAAGCATTAGAAAGACCACAAAGAGGATAAACAAATACATGATGGGCTGCATAACTCAACTAACTCAATGTAAAGATTGAACGCCCCACTTCAAAAAAATGAACACACAACCCTTTGCATCCCCCTTTTATGGTGTTCTGCCCGAGGCGTTCGGGACGTATCGGCACTCCTTGACCAGCTGCGATGTGATCTCGGGAGTCATGCAGTGGTTGGAGCTCGGCGGTCGGCACATCGACGCCTCGGCCCGCAGAGAGATGTTCGCATCGTCGGCGCCCGAGGAGTCCGGATGTCTCGGGAGGTTCGACCTAAAGAGACGGGAGTGAAAGGAGTGGAGGATAGGGAGGCAGGTGGAGGACCAGGAGTGGAGGATGGGAGGCAGGAGGCCAAGTTTGGAGACCAGGACCAGAACTTTCAGCCTTTGGAGTTGAGAAGTTTTCCCTCGACGGATGGGGGATGGGTTCGACGGATGGAGAGGTTCCCCTCTCCAGGTGGGTGACTGTCGCCCCTTGTGGCCGACGGGAAGACAGCCAAGGACACAGCACACGATTATGGAACTGAGCCGGACGTGGGAAAGGCGATTCGTTTGTCCAATGTCACTTGGCAAAAGGTGATGCGTCTTTTGTGTTTGTTAATTTCACATCCTTCGGCCAGGTCCGCCGCCCCACCAAGCGTTTGGATTGAACAAAGCTGTGGTTAGGTATGAACACAACAACAACAACAACAACAACAACCAAAACAGAAACAGAAACAGAAACAAAAACAGAAAGAAGAAGAACAACAAGAACAACAACAGCAACAACAATAACATCAATAGCAATAGCAACAGAGGAGGGGTGAAGTCAGCGAAACGAAAATTCTTCCAAGGACAAGGTCAATATCTTTACAAGCAACCTTCCACAAGACACGCCTTGCCTTTGCACGTGGCAGAGGGTCAGCGGATTAAGTGTTGGTCCGCCAAAAACTTGTTGACCTGCCTTGTACATGTTTTTGGTTCCCTCCGCTTCTTGCTTCCAAGAATGCAATATATTGAGTTCAATTTTAATTTATAGCTGTTCCAAATATAGTTTCCATCATATTTTGCATCTAATCACAGTGAATTCGAGGAGGATCAGACTTCGCTGAGGAGAATAGAATCCTCGAGAATCCTCTCACAAAGCCAAGGTTCCCCGCAAGGAGATTTTCATAACCACGAAGATCCCTGGGCCCATCGGCAGGGACGCCGTAAAGACTTTGGTGCTGAATGAGACTTTGCAGCAAACACAGCGAGACAGTGTTCAGCGTCACTTCACCTGGTGCCCCTGGCGCCTGAAAAAATTCTTGTGCAAATGGGGTATCATGTAGCTCGTGTGATCTCGTGTAAGTTGGACCATTTTTGGAAATGCACACTTGGTGGTAGATTGTCATACCGCCGAGTCTCTCTTTGTCATCACATGTATCTACAGGTGTGGGTGTGATATTACAATTGAGGTCGACTGAGCGCTGGGTATTCACCAAGCATTTCACGGGTTGGCTTGCAGGCCTTGACATGGGATCCTCCTTCAGCTCACTTGTAGCGGGCTAATTAGAGGAAGTAAAGGATATTGAAGAGATGAGCACCGTCATCTCGGAGCCTCATTAGCCTTGGCAGGTTTGCATGCTGGTATTGCGAGCATCGCATAAACTAGAACCCAATTGGATGAACCTTGAGGTAAGCCAATTTGTATGGCAACTTGATCCGACTTGATTCTCCTGAAACATGGTTTGAAGCAAATGTTGCCCACAAGCTACAGAGCTGGTTCCGTCCCAAACTCAAAATCGTCTAAGCCGCAGCCATGCTGCTGCGCCGTCGCGCAGCCACGGTGCGTGCACCGGTCGGCAGAGCGAGCTTTTGGGAGCCATTTTTCCAATTTGAGGAATAATTTGTACCCCTGGGATTCTTTTCCATTGGTGACCCCAGAAAGAACTTATTTGACTAGTGTACACGAAAGGAGTGTGGACAGCTCAGACTTGTTGCACACGGTGTGCCACATGGGCCACAAGTCTTCGCCGTGCGTGTCTTTTCTCAAACCAACGGCTTCATTTAGAGTCAGACCTCGTCAACGTTCATCTTGCAGACCTTGCTCTCAGCCTTTCTTCTCGCGAGGAAACCTTGCCGAAGCTGGGAACCGAATATGCCGCACGGCGACGCATTCGGTGGAGAGATGTGGAGAGGGAATTGTCCGGCAGTGCCTCTGGATGTTTGCAGGCTACAGCGAGATTGGCCAGGAACATAATTGGCCACCAATGCACTTGAGGATTGAGGATGAAGTATATTCCCGGGACGGTTACGGTTACAGCACCAAAAATTCAGGAATCAAGAGCATATCAAGAGCAAACACAAGTGGTATGGAGTGGCACACTTCCCGGAAATGATCTTCGTAAGGTGGAGAACGCACTCTTACTAACAAAGGTGGTGCCATCCATGAAACCATGGAACCATCCGGGGAGTGTGGAAGCCATTTGTGGAAGCAATTGTTTTTACATTTGTAACTTTTTTTGCATGTAAACAAAATGCATTGTGAATCTCTGATGGCTGCATGCATTCCAGGGATTTGGGCTCAAAGAAACTGGGAACAATATGACATTATAGGACGCCCAATTGTTATTATACAAACAAAGAATCATCACTTGAAATGTTCGCTGTTGTTTTGTTTGTTTGCTTTTGTTTTTGTTTGGGTTTTTGGTTGAAAAGAATGGATGCTTTGGGAAGGTGGACCTCCTCTTGATCCACACACCCTGCCTGGAGCGCAGCGACTTCCCCAACAAGTGCGGCTCGAAGCTTCGCCACTCGAGTCGAAGCAGAGCTCAGGACCCCCGCAGTTGGGGTGGTTAATGGACACCCCCTTAACCGCCTTAAGCTCCATGGGGCCGCCTTAATGAACACCCGGAATCCGTGGTGCTGCCGTGGGTCCTTTCGCTCCGGTTGTTGGCTGTGGGTCGTGGCCCATCATGGGTCATGCATGGGGAGACAATTCTGGGGGTCCAGGTTTCGAGCCGCAGCCACACCCCATATGTTTCCCGAGGGATCTACGTGAATGTGGCACTTGGTATGCCCATTCAATGCTCAAATTTGGGCAGACCGTTGCAGACCAATGTAATTCCAAGCAGCCAGAACAGTGTCAACCCGAGTTTCTTGTTAACTCCGAAGCAGATTTGGGTGTATGCAACTGGACCCGGCTCCCTCATCCTGCAGGTGGGAAGAAAACCTCAAAGCTCCGAAATACCCTCAAAATCCATGAAGATCCTGACCCAAGCATATTGCTCCAACATGCGTTCCCTCCATCGTGTAACACACCCTCCCCCCCAAAAAAAACATCCGACCATACAACACCAATCCGGACCATCCGTCATCACCACTCCGACCAATGCAACTGCCCGTAGGTGCAGAGCGCCTGGACACCTACCGCGGCCTTATGGAGCTCCGTGCCGCCGGGAAGATCCGCGCCATCGGCGAAACTCGCTCGCAACTGAGGTGGAACATGGTGGGGGTACGAACTGGATCCAGGGAGATATACAGGGCAAGTGTGGAGTGGTGTTGCGATTTTGATGACTTTTTTGGGGGGACATTTGCAAGATCCTCGGCCAACATCAACTAACTAGTGACAGCTGGAAGTGACTCTTTCAGGGAGTTGGATGTGTGTGTGTGTGTGTCTTCAAAGTGTGTTGATTTGCTGTTTTATTTTCCCGTTGGTTTGGTCAAAGAAGGATCCCTTCGTCGTCCACGCACACTTGAGTAAATCACGGGGCTAGGAGTTCAGCAGATACTATGATCCTTGCAGGTTGTAGACTTGCCCTTCCCTGAGAGGGGTTACATACCACCTGGGCAATGTACATATCAACCCACGGCCCCATGCTGCCGTGCCGTTTGTCTTTTCGAAGAACATGACCAGAGCAGGTCAGCAACTATTTGGCCGAGCAGGTCGAAGAAGCCTCCTGCCAGCATGACATGGCCGTGATTCCAGGAGTGTAGTGGATCGCCCACAGAAATGCCCGAACAATCCCCAGACACTCCATGGGACTGCCATACAGGCTGATCAGTTGGGGTGGTTTTGGGGGTCAATGTAGGCATATGTAGGCATATATGGCATACATGGAGTGCTTGGGATTGAGGATTCGGGATTGAGGTTGAGCATCAATCAATGAGGATCATGTCCGGTTCTATACCCATCAAAACCGTTTGGCACCTGTTCCTACGAGCTGGCCTGGGTTTAGCCCTGGCACACGGAGAACAGATCACGCATGATGGAGTCATGTGAATCAGCAACGAACCAGGTTGTGGCAGAGTTGAAGGAGGCTCCGGCAGTGAACCAGGCACGCCGCCCCTTTTTTGGCCGCGTCCGAGGGTGACGGTGCGAAAGAAGCTGGCTGCCTGCACAACACTAGCAGTCACTAGCACCAGCAACATTGCCAATATCATCACCAGCACACCTATATCACCGCTTGTTCTCAGCACGTGTTCAAAATCTGGGCAGGTGGAGTGGCACTTGGCTTATCACAACGAGACCTTGCGGCAACGCATGGAGTCTTCGTCCGTGCGCCTTGAAGCCTGGGCGTCTTTGGCAGGTCCTACGGGGCAAGGGTGGCTCGGACGTGGAACGATGGAACGGCCATCCATGTAACCATGTGATGTGTGAGTCAGAGTGTGCTCTCAAGTCTGACCATTCTGACCATGTCTCGTTGACAGCCGAGCTGTGAGCCCAGGAGCCCTAGCATTTCTTTGGCAGATGAGAGGCTCAAGAAAGTTGCAGGCTGGGCGGCTGGGGCATGGGATGTGTCTGGCATCCGGATGGATTTCTTTAGTATGGTCCTGGTGTTGGGCATTTGTTGGAGGCTTGGAGTGTCCAGGTGTAGCAGCGTGCAAATCCGGTGTTTGTGGAGTTGTTGCTAGATTGCAGTTCTCGTCACTCAAGTTCTCAAGTTAGATTGCTCAGCCAGCTAAGTATTCATTGCCCATGGTACCGTTAAAGTATGCTGAAATCAACAAGAATTCAGACATGTCCACCAAGGACTTCGCTTCGTAGGGCTTTCATCCTGAAACCCATCCTTCATCATGTTGTTGCAAACAATATCAGCTCACACGAGCGCGGCAGCCATATGGCGGCCAAACCATCGGCTCTAATTAGTTGAGTTTCTTCCCTAGCTTTGGTGCCTCCAAATGCGCGTTGCGATGGATTCAAGGGTTCAGGGCTTGGATAGGCTTGGGGAGCGCTAGGAGTTTAGCAGGCAACTTGGGATAGCAATTTACTTTGAAGTGACTCACTACGTTTGTTTTTTGTTGCCTGGTTGGTTGGTTGGTTGGTTGGTTGACTGGTTGCTTGGTTGCTTGCTTGCTTGGTCGATTAACTGCTTGGATTGTTGGTTATATAGTTATATATAACTGGTTGCTGGATTGCTTTCTTTGGGGGAAATGGTTTGACAACATCATGACACATCAAGTGATTGCCTGGATTTTTCACTGACTGGGCATAGGGGGCCGCCCTCCTCCAGGGCGCTACAACATGAGCACAGCTCAGCTGGAACTGCGCTGGGAAACTCTGCGCGGCGTCGTCCCCGTGACCGCCACTTGCTCCCGGGAGCACGCGGCACCCTGGCAGATTCGGAGGGATGGATTCATCGAAAGGCAAGATGGGGCGAGGAAGGCCGAAGAAAGACACCGAAGGCGAGAGGACGCTAAACCGTTGACTCCTTTTTGGGGGGGCCCCGCAGCTGAGGCATGTCCATGGCAATTCTCAACGGCCCTTGGAGTGCTCCAAGCCCCCTCAAAATCCCTTAAGCCATAGCTACTTCTACTGTGTTCATGTGTTTTCTCTCCTGTACATCGAAGTTGTTCACGACCCGTTTGGCCGTATTTGGTTCATCCATGTTCATCCCATGTTTGCCAGCTTATGGGGTTAGACGATCGACCCCCAGCGGCGTAAGCGACCCAGGTTGGTGACATGAACTCCTTTAACTTCAACCTGTCCAACGAGGAGTCCGGAGCATTCATTCTCTGTGGTGACTGTCCTGCCCGATCAAAAGGGGTCTTCGGTGTTTGACATGTGTTTTTCCAGTCTAGCCAGGTGTACCATTGTTTGAGGTCGGGTCCTTCCGATTTGGGTGCAACCCAGAGGGGACAGCCCTGTGGACAGGCAGGGAGAGGTCCAGTGATGTCCGGCATCAAGATCGAACATGGTTTTCAAGGGGTCTAAAGGCGAAGATGTCTAACGAAAAAACAGCTAGAACTCGCAGGGAGGGTCAGAAGAGCGTCATCTTGTTGGATAGACTTGGCACTTGCAGAAAACTAGTTATATACATCGTATTACATCCCAAAAGTACAGCCATCAACAGCCTAGTAAGTCAAAGCGCCGATGTTTTCCTGACAGCCAACCACTATCCTGACCCCGGTGCTGGACCGCTCTTCCATCTCCGCTGGTCCTGTCGCAGGACCTGGATTACTTGGATAGCCTGCCGGCGCTCATGGAGACATCCTTGCTGCTTTGAGCGACCAACGGGGCACGGCGCAATACGGCGCACGTGCCGGAACCCAAAAGTGGCACTGCGCAGGCTTTCGGTGATATTTGTTGTGGCGGCACCGGGCGGTTGTCCAGCAATGTCCAGCACCATTTTATGTTGATTTCATGCGTTCATTGGCCAAGCTTTCGGGCCGCCTGGATATTCTCCTAAAAGAATCCCAAAGATACTCGCAAATCAAACACTCCAACTGCAAAATTTCAGATACTCGTAGACATCCCTTCTTGGTACGTACCGTCCATACCGCACCCTTTTCAGCCATCCACACCTGGCACCAGATCTCCTGCCCGTGCCCAGGTCTCCCCCGAGCCGGAGCTCACCTGTTCGCAGCAGGAGCGGTCGCGAGTCCACCGAACGCGGGGAGGCACATCGACCACACGACGACCATACAACGACCATTCAACTGTGGTACACGGTTCCTGGGGGGCTTTCTGGGGGGTGGAGGAGGTTTAGAGAAGGGAATTGATGAAGAGAAGCATGAGGGATATCAAAGAGGTAGGAAGGATACTCAACCTGTAGCGGAACAAACCAATTCAGACTGTTGACTTATGATTCATAAATGTCCAAATTAGGTCGCAAAACATGATAAGGACTGCGCATAAGAGGATGACCTCTGGATGATTGTGTGCTCGTGAATTGGTGAATGTATCCTCAACTTGCCTTCGAGATCAACGAAGATTGCTCGGATTTCTGGTCATTTGATCTGAGTGCCTGGGGGTGCCGTGCTAAAATGCCACTGTTGGGTGATGCAACTAATCTAACTTCTCCCAACCTTCCGTCCTCTCCAGGAGAACATCCCTGAATTCCACAAAGAGAACAGCGCTGACCCTGAAGTGTTCGGCCCTGAGCACTCCGAGCACTCGGCATGCGCCTCAGGCATGCTGGCCTCGGTGCTTTGGTGTGAAGCCAATCGATTTGAAGCCTTTGAGATTCCAACATGTTGTGAGTACGTGTTGTTTTCCTTTTAACCGATCTGTGAGTACGTGGCACGTACGTGGCCGCCCTCCCGGGAGATCCGAGCATCGCATCGCACCCGAGGTCTCCAGGGCGGAAGGCGTGGCTCTTGGAGAAGTCGGGGAAGTGGAATTCGCCCAAGGACGGACATCACCCGACGCCGGGTGAGGCTGCATTTGGACGCCCTGGGCCGACAGGTGAGTGAAGCACGCATTCTTCACATGCTTTGGGGGATCAATGAGAACATACAGTATTATAGTCAGTGTATATATAGAGATAGTGTTAAGTTTAGTGTTACCATACTGATAGCATATACTCAAAGAGATCAATGACAAGAATCACTAACAACATCCTCGCAAATTATTTCAAGGGGGTTCAATTGGCCAGTGAGGCTGAAGATCTCCACTGGGATGATGCTGGAAGTTTTGGCATCTCACACTGCCCAAATGTTATACATCAATGAATCACTGATGAGTCTGAAACATACAAGATAAAGGACGCTTTCTTTTTTATGTCGTTGCTTGTTGTTTGTTCGTTGCTGTCGACTCTGTCGACCGTTTCTCACTGATTCGGACGCTCGGGCCAAACAAGCTCTCTCCCGGAATTTTGGACTTTGTTCCTTTTTGTTGGTGTTAACAGTGTTACCTTTGAATTTGTCTTTGTTTTCTGTGCCAACAGTTCCGGCATTGCCCAGTTTTGATCACTTTGTGCAGGTCAAAAGCACGTTTTGGCACATCGAAGACGGCTCGCCAAGAGTCTTTTCAAGTGAGCCCCATAGCGGCTCAAGACCCCACGAAGTTGAGGGGAAGCCGTTGGTTTCGCTTTTTGTTGGAAACCGTTTGAGGCTTTGGTTCTGGACACAAACTGACCTCTTTGCCCAAAGAATCCTTCTGCTGTCAGATGTTTTATGGAATCAGGTCTTGCAATGAGTGTAGTCTGGCTAGGGACCTGCCACTGCCACGTTTTGCGTTTAACGCACGGGACCGCGTGACTCCTGTGGGGCTTCTAGGACGATCTGACAGCTGAGAAGAGCATGGAGAAGAGCGAGATTCATGTGAAGGCCTGGAGAAGGGCACTGTAAAGACCAAGCCACTTGCGTAGATCATTCAGCACCTTAGACCTCAGATGTTTTGTGCAATTCGCTTCTTGAAGCCACTTTGTCTGACTGCATGGCTATGATTCATATGCAGGACACCCTCTCAATCACACATTGATCCTTGATGTGCAACGATGTTTGTTCGTTTTTACCATGGCTTTTGGATGAGCCTCTATTTGCCATGAGCGGCTTGGATGCCCCCTTGCAGTCCCATTCCGAAACTGGCCTATGATGCGTAGGATGTGGCGTAGGGCATGTCAGGGCGAGGCCCTGGCCCAATATGCCAATGTCAGTACAACGTCCAATGTCCTATGCCTATATCATCTATATCATTCTACTCGACTCAACTACCCGCCTTTTCTGGAAGCAACTCTGGCATTCGTCCAACCAGAGAAACTGCCTCCTGGCGCCTCACACACATCGGACGACGAGCCTCGCGCCGGCCGCAAGGCCCGTCCCAACACGATCGCAGGAACATCGCGGGCCTTTTTATAGGCAAGTCGAAGAAATGATCTTGATCTTGCTCATCAATGCTCATCCCATCATTATGAAAAATAATGCCTGTACATTGGCCCCTGACCAACCACTTCTGGCCTGATCGGTCAATATTCCGGTCCCATGGAGTGTTTGGATTCAATTGTCTCGATTCTACCGCGCAAAACCTCGGGCCCCGTCGATTACACTGCCCGCGCCATCGCGCACTGGTAAGCTGGCAGGCCCTTTGCAAGCATAAGTTTGGGGCGCCTGGTGAAGTGGGCATGGAGGGCTGGAGAACATGGTATACGCCTTTTTGGGCGCTTTGACGGAACTGCTCTTTTTCAGAACAAGATAGAACTTACATGAACTTGCAGTAAAATCTAGGATTCAGAGCTGGAGGCTGGAGGACTATATTTCTGGTTTGTGGTGTCTATAATGACCATGGATGCCACAGTCTCCAACCCGCGGACGTTGTCATCAATCCCGGGACGTGCGGCACGTGCAGTGGGATGCCTAGGGCCTAGGCTTGATGGACATCTAGAGTTGCATTATAGCAGTAGTTACACTTGGACACCTTAGGGCACCTTCCTCGCTTGTGTTCGCACTTGATCGCATCTCTTGATCCTAAAGGGATGCTCCATCAACAGAAACAAAATTGACACCGTGAACAGCAAAATCATGCAACATCCTGAAGCACAGAAAAGCGTTTTGGCGGCCTTTTGGTTTCTCATTGCTAGGGGCTACGGGCGGGTTGTGGCACTTGACCTCCCTGCTTCAGCTTTGAACACCCTCAAATGGATCCCATTTGCCATCATCTAAGCATATCTAAGCTATCTACCACAGACATCCACAGACTATAGTTTTCGCATGTCTTCGCATATTGACCGATCTTGTTCTTTTTTGGTGAGAGGAGAGGGGCCTATCTAAGACCCCCGAATAGAGGCCCGTCCAGGTGGTCCGTTCGGCCGCACCAGGTCGCCCAAGCCGTGGCGATATTCCATCTCTACGCAGATGCCGCCTGGCGCAGATGCCATCGGCACATGGGGTGAACTCCGGGGGGAGTCTCTGGGAGGTTGGGAGCTGCGTGCCGAACATGAACCTGGGTTTTGCTTAGGTGAAATGATGGTAATATGATGTCTTACCAAAAAAATCCAATGGTTAAATCTCCTGATGAGTATGTTGTTACTTTGTCCAGGTTCCTTAAGCAAATCCAAGAGAAGGACTTTATGGCTTTTGTGTGTGTCTTTCAGATCAAAGAGAGGAATCCCAAAGTTCTGAACTGGCGTCAGGCGTCCAGTGAAAACTCAGTACGGGAAGGGTGCAACAGTTATTGGAAGCAAATTCCAGTAGTACCAGGTTGGACTTGCTACCCCACTGTTTATCACGAAAGCTAGCCTTAGCTAGCTGGAGTTGCTCTTGCTTTAGCAAGTTAAGTGACGGGGTGGACGCACCTCAGAAACCGCAAATAATTGATTAAATCAATCTTATGGACCCCCCCCCCCCCCCCGCGGTTCGCCCCCCTGCGCGCGGTGAGCGGGACCACCAAGCAGCTGCAGCACACCAAGCAGCTGCAGCGCCCAGCGCAGCAGCGGCAGCAGCAGCACCAGCAGCAGACCACCGGAAGCCCGGCTAGCTTTCGTTCACCCCCTCTGGCCTCAAGTGTTGTCTAGTAGGAATTCGGAATTAGTAGGAAGCCCAAACTAAAGCATACTATATAAGTATATAATACTAAAGCAACACATCATACTATATCTAAAGCCATAAAGAGCCCAGCAGCTGGACAAACACTTGGAGGTGTGTGGATCAAGACCTCATGCCCCCCATGTAGCAACAAAAGCGCACATGAACAATCAAGTTCATTTCTGCATGAGCCACCGTCACGGTCAATATAAGCGTGGATCACTTTAGTAGAGGGGGAGCAGTTAGTGCTGAGCAAGTGCATCGAACCCGTCACCCAACCATCTAAAGTGATAGCCTAGCCCCCCCCCGAAAGGGTAGTAACCTGTATCAACATCGGTCAGATTTCGACAGTCCATTCAACTTGGCTTCGACCCACCATGCTCGGGCAAAACCCGGGAGGGAAATTCAACCTGCGGTGCCGGTGTTTCCTGCAGTTGTCGTACCATTTGTCATCCAAAGTGATTTGAACCTTTCTATCAGCAATACTATATAAGCAATAAGTCAATAAGCGATGACTCAGCGATCACCAGTTATGTATACCACTACTTCTCATGGACCGTTGATCAGTTCCTTGGCACAGAACGTCGGTGGGTTTTCTTGGCGCGCAGAGCCGTGCGCGGCGCAGAAGTGCCGTGCGCGAGTCACTGAGGCCCAGCAAGTTGGAGTTCGAGCGCCGCTTTGGAGCACTGAATCGTTTGTCCGAACCATAACAATTACGTCAGTCAAACAGTCGGTAAACCATGATCTAGCAGTTCGACCTAGCACTGAATTCGTAACAGTCGGTAACAAGAACATCACTATATTTTTCAACAAGGCCTGCAACCGAACCATCATCATCCACTGTTACAGGTAATGGGATAGACCCAATTCATAGTGCTCT